TGTGGATATGTCATATATCTGGACATCAATTAAATTGAGGTGTCTGATTTAGGATTAATGGGTTCCAACCTGTATGTTTATCATCATAGCAGATGGCAAGGAACCATCACTGACTAAGGTTAAATCTTTTGACATATTCCACAATAAAACACGAGCAAAATACACATTGCAGTGAGAGCAAGAGGATGCTTGAATCTTTATTATACTCATACTGAAAATCAAAATAATTAACCTTCTTCTTCACTAGAAGAAAAAAAAAAGTAGAATTCCATTGGAAAAGTACCCATTTGTGATGAGATGTTCCTATTCTGTATGTACTTTATTAAAGTCAATACAGCCAGCTTAAGCTCTAACTACGCATTTCAGTATGTCTATGCAAATCTTGTTAGCTTTCTCCACCTGTTTTAAACTACTTCTCGTAATTTTAGGAGAAAAAAAAAAATAAAACACCATAAACTGTGTTGATCAGCAAGATAAGATGGATATAATAATCTCTATTTCCATAGCCAAAGATACATGCCCTCTTATTTTAAATGCAAAATAATACATTAGCCTCTTGAGAAATRTCCAGTAACTATGAAATGCAGATTACAGTTTAATAGAAGTTTCTGTAGCAGACGCTGTGCACAGCCATGACGTGACAGATGCTCTATATATAACTGAGAAAGAAATATCATGCACCATTTGAGACTGCAGCATTCAACTGGAACAGGATTTTGCCTCATTATATTCCAGAAAAATGAAACCTTGTAAGAGATCCTAAAACTCTTATTAGCTCCCATTCAGTAGATATTTCTCCAAAACATATTTAGGGTCTTTTTTTTTTTTTTTTTGAGGGGTTGTGTATACTAGCCTGTCTTCAAAACCAGGTAAGTTAGATCCTTCTGTTTTCACACATAACCTGACATACAGATGTAATAATTTGGTTTCACTATTGCAGTCTTAAGGGAAAAAGAAGAAACATTTATAGGGCTCAAAACAAAATCAGAACCACAGGCAGCATCAGATAAAACAATTCTTTGCAAACAAGCCCTGCCTTATTATTACTCACTTAAAAGCAATCCATTTTTACTCTAGGCATATTGATGATTTTATGTTAAATTCCTAGTCCTGTACACACTACTGCAGTATTAGGGGGTGAGTTTCTACAGAAAAAATATCTATTGTGGATCACATTGAAAGCTATGGCAATTATTATTTCAGAATATTTCAGAATATTTATTTAAGGTTGGAAGGGACCTCTACAGATCATCTAGTCCAACCTTCCTGCTCAAGCAGGCACACCTAGAGCATGTGGCACAGGGTGGCATCCAGGCGGGTTTTGAAGACCTGGAGAAGACCTTATGCAGTATAATAAGTTTTATTTATATTAAAAAGTTATCTTGCTACCTCAGAGATTATGAAGACGAGGTCAGGGATGAATTTGCAGACTTTCTTCCTCATTGAATCTATCAAGTAATGTTTCTTGTTCATCTTTTAGGAAACAGGAGATTTCCAAAAGGCACAGGACCTCTCCCATCCTTTCTGTTAAAGCCTCCAGAAGTTGGTGAGAGCCCTTTTCCATCACCCACACACTATCCTATAGGAGCTTTTTAATGCTCTTTGGTGCAAAATCTGCACTGTAAAGCAGCTAGAAAAGGGTAATGGCCCAAACAACCACAGCTGTTTTTAGAAAACAGCTGTGCTGAAGTTTCAGGTTTGCCCTGGCCGAAGCTCAATGAGGTTCTTCTGTTTGAAGGCAACTAATTTTAGCTCTTGTATCTAATCAATTTCAAGCAAAGTTTTAAATAAGGGTGGAAGAAACCCTACCAATCTGGGGAGAAAACAACTAAATCAGCAAAACAACAAGAACTAAAACAGGGGGCACACACACTCCTTGCTRTGTAGCTAGAACTACAGATTCTGGACTTCTGCAATTGTTTTTAAATACTGTAGTGGTCAGCACCTTCCAGCATCATAATGCCCACTTTCACCCTTGCAAAACCATCCAAGAGCTTTAAATATATTACTACTCCGAATGACTCACCTTCCATAGGAAAAGGGAACAGACTAGTGCATTCTAGAAAAAAGAGCTATGGCCATACACAGAGCTGGGCACAGTTAAATATGAAAAGAGCAGAAAATTGGAGAAGCTGGGCAGAAAGGGAAAGCAGGAACATATAGAAATGCTGGTAGAGGAGCGAAAGCACAAGCATTGACATACAGAGAAAAATGTGGGAAGAAAAAGGAGCACACGGGAATCAGTGGAGTACACAGAGGAGAGGAGGGAGCAGACACAAGAACAAAACAGGGAGACAGTGGTGCTGCAAGCAGAAAAAAAAACAGTCTACAGAAACTATGAGATGAATGTTAAAAGATATTCCAGGCTTCAACATGCCTTTAAAAAAATAAAAATAAAAATAAAAATAAAAATAAAAATAAAAATAAAAATAAAAATAAAAATAAAAATAAAAATAAAAATAAAAATAAAAATAAAAATAAAACAAAAACATATGACAGACTCAAAGGCCTATACCTGTATCCTGAAAACCTGTATTTTTACCTATTCATGGCAAACACAAAATAAAGCTGCTACAGTATCACACCAAAAGCAGTTGTTGGAAGGACACTACCATCTGGTGGTCAAAAGAAAGAAAAGTTAGCCCTTTAGATAACTGGCTTTTCTGACTATTCCTTCTGATTCTCTTATTCATTCTATGGCAACTCGAAAGTATAGGGCCTATTCTTTCATAGCACACCAGCTATATTTAGCTATATAATAAAAGGAAGTAATGCAAAACTGATTCCCAGTCATTCCCAGATAAAAAGTAAGACTATTCACCTCAATTTTCTGTTTATCTCTTTGAAAATAAGCACTTTAGGGCTACGCAACGCAACGGAAGAGAGTTCCTTGACTGCAGTAATTAGATGTTACTTCAATGCAGGTATATAATAAAGGCTACAATATCATCTGCAGAAAAGAAATAAAAATGAAAGACAACTTTTCCAAGTTAGATGATGCATAATAGTCCATGTTGAGAACAACCACACTCGTATCACCAGTACCTTCAAAACTGAGTGCAAAAGTGGCACTTTTCATAGCAGAAGAGTGCTATTTTATATATATATATATATATATATATATATACACACACACACACACATCTAACCTTCAATTACTGCAGTGGGAGCTGGCAGGAAATATGACACTGGAGAACAGAGATTATTGCAGCGGCGGCACCCATAAGCATCAGGAACTGGAGTTCCTACAGCAGCGAGTGTAGATGACATAGGCCACAAAGGCTTCATTAACTCAGCTGCACAAAAAACTTCCTCTCCAAGCAGAGTTGAATGMGAACAAAGAAATAAAAAGAGATAAATTTGAGGAGGGAAGCTTAGCTATAGACTATAATGTTATGATTTTCAAATATTAGTATTTATGGTTTTATAACATTCATGTTTAAAGCTTCTTGGATTCACAGATGTTACTTAAATGACTACCCAACCAGCAGCTGCCAACTGCGAAGTGGCAACTTTATTATCTTGATCCTTCTCACAGGACAGTCCTACCTATCATACCTAGATGTTTCACCCAACATCTGAAATACCTAAAAATATTTTTTCCCTTTATATTATAGAAGGTGTTATATCTGTATATATCTATTACATATATATTGTAATTTGAAACACAGCAGTGTACTTAGACACTATCTCACTGCAAGAAATGAACTGCTGTAGATCGCGTTGATCAAAACCCATTCCTGTAGGTTTGACAAAACCATCATCGCTGCTGCCCCCTTATGGGAAAAGAAAATACTGATCAAGAGGCTTCTAAAAATACTGAACACTTAAATCTCTCTTTGAAGGTGCATTTAACTGCAGTATGTATTGGTAACCACCATCAGCAGTGCTTCAGCTTTACAAATCATTCGTTAAACTAGGGTTTAAAACCAAGATACACTATCACGGCTATCCTTCAGAGAGAGAGGACTGTCTCTTCCAGAAACTCACCTGCATATTAACACTGATGTAAGGAAAAGCCTGCAGCTTAATAGCATCATTGATGCTGACCATATTCTAGGCACGTCTTTCCCAGGAACCAGCACAAAAACATAACCACAGAGCCTATTTTTCAGCGCTGTTCCCAAGCTATTCAGAGCCTGCTGCAAACTCCAATGCTCCCATATTTTGCAACACCTAAGTTTAGCTTTGCTTCCCCTGGAGAAGCCTAAGGAGCCACCTGGTGTCYCCCACAACCACAATCAGAGTGGGAGGAAAGGGCTGAAGCCACGGCTGCACCTGCAGTTTGCAAAACGAAGCTCCCCCAAAACATCAAAATAAACAAATAAATAAACACTTTAAGCGCCTTAGCCCACCCTCAGAGCGTGACAGGCGGCGGCCGGCGGCTCAGATTCGTGTGCGAGAGGCAGGAACCAACAGCAACACCTGCACACCTCAGGTCGYTTCGTGTCGCCTCAGCGGCAGGCGGGAAAGCGGCGGCGCCCCGCGCGCATGCGCCCCTCACCCCGCGCCCCCTTCGCTCGCCCCCCGCCTTGTCGCGCGGCCGTTAGAGCCGTTGGCGGCGGCCGTTAGGAACGGTCAGGAGCCGTTGGCAGCGCCTCCTCGGCGGCGGGGCGGTCTCGTCTGGCGGGCGGTTACTGTCCAACCTCTGCCGCGTCTCCCTCCTCCTTCCCCGCCTCCGCTCCGCCTCTCGCCACGCTCCTGAGCTCCGCGGCGGGCAGCGAGGAGCCGCCTCGGCTGCGCTCCCCTTCGCCCCGRCTCTTCGCCCCGCTCCGGGCGGCTGAGGGGAGCGGGAGCTGCCCGCTGCCCCCGGGGAAACGTGCAGCGCCCTTCTGCAGAGAGCAGCCTTCCCCCGGCCTCCTTCTGCCCCCTTCCCCGCCTCAAGSGGGGGAAAGGAGCTCCCTACCTGAGAGRAGSAGGCGGCGGCGGCTCCCCCGCCATGGGCAGCGCGGCCGGCCCTACAGCGTGAGCCCTTCTCGARGCCCGGGCAGCCCCTCGCCATGGCAGGTGGGCTCTGGCCCTCGCTGCTGCTGATGGCCGCCGTGGTGGCGGCCGTGGCGCTCAGCCGCCTGGGGCCGGGCCGCCGGCGGGGCGCTTCGCTACGGGAGTTCTTGAGCACCTTCCAGATTTGCGCTTGCACCAACGAGCTCTGCCTGCTGGCCGCGGCGGAGCTGCCGCCGCCCGCCGCGCTGCCGCTCACCTACGGCCTCACCGTGCTGCACGGCGTGACGCTGGCGGGCAGCGCGGGCAACCCGTGCGGCACCTTGCAGCAGGCGTGGGCGGGCGCCGTGCGGCCCCGCGCCGCCGCGCTCCGCATCGGCGCCCAGTTCGCCGCCGCCGTGCTCGCCAGGGGCTTCATGCAGCTCGTGTGGAGCCTCGGGGCGGCCGAGGCGCACGTCGGAGCGCGCTGGCAGCGCTGCGGCCACCCGCTGCAGACCACGGAGGTGCAGGCCTTCTTCATAGAGCTGCTGTTCTCGGCCGTTTTCCAGCTGGCCGTGCTGCGGGTGGACTTGATCCATCCCAACCTCAGAGTCCATTTCATTGCTCTGCTCATCACCATGCTCGTGTATTCAGGTTAGTCTTTTTATTCCCTATTACCACCACTGAATAGCAATTTTCCTTTTTTTTTTTTTTATTTAAAACACATGAATAATAATAATACAGACATAGATTAGGGAAAAATATATTTCCTCAAAAAAGTCTTTGATCCTGCAAATGCACTGCCCAGAGTTCATGTGCAGTGTGTCTAAACTTTGCCTCGTTAGATTCAGCTACCTGATTGTGGCTAAGAATGGAGTGAGTTGCATGTTCCAACCATGCGAAATCAGCAGGTAATACGGCTGATAATTTCACTGAGCTCTTGTTGAAATATCTTGGTGAAAAATTGTTTCATAATCTGACCTCATATTGCATTAGGTGCTTCATGCAAGGTGTTCTGCAGTGTGTCCTCATCCCAAAGGGCACTGTGAGAAAGTGTCACTGTCTGCACAGGGAAAAGGATGGTTGTGCAATGTCCTTGTGCAGACCTGTGACCTGCGTGTGCCACGTTTAATCAGCACGTAACTTATATTGGTGACATCTACCCTGGTCAGCTTCCTTAAATCAGGCATCAGAATGAACATCTGTGGCACGTGGAAAGATACGATAGACCGTGAGCACTCGTGAAACCAGATATTCAGATAAATTTGTCAAATGCCTCTTGTATTGTGACATCTGTGGGCATCTTGAGTGCTTTGGCCTCTGTCCCACCTCTTGTCCCGCTTGCTGGTGTTACCTGCAGAGTTTCTTTCCACTCTGCTGGTGTCCCTTGCACTCTGCAACGCAGAGCTCTTACGTACGTCCCCTTGCTTCAGAGTGGCCTCCAAGGGGGTGGGTTGGGCTGGGTGAACAAGTCTGTGTGTTGAGATATAAGGATATGAGAGAGGGATGGGTACAGAGCTCCTTGTACTGGCTGGTGCTTCAGCTGTCACCACAGAGGAGGTCACTGAGGAAATGTATGAGAGAGGGACAAAACCTCCTCATCTATGGATGTCTAGAGTACCTTGACGCCTTTTCTTGAAGGGCTTTGCTATATTTAACATAGGTACATAGAATACAGCAGAAGTTTCAGTCCTTACACATAATGTTTAGCTGAAAGAATAAAAAGAAGAGGTCCCTAGAGAATTTGTATAACTAACTTGGTAATTTGAACTACTTTTTTGAACATTGTTTTTTGAGGCAGAAGCATTTTAGCACACTGATTGTATTCCTAAATTGCTTGGTTAAAGCATAGCCAAAGATTATACTGTCTCTTCTAGGCACATAGACAGCTGGATTCCTGATTAACATTCCTTTGCTGCCTAGTGAACAGTCCTGTAAAATAATGCGTGTCACGTTGCCTTTCTCTTTGCTAGTTCCCCTAGTGAATTTATGCCCGTATTGTTGGCCAGGCTGGCCTCTTTCTAGACGAAGGCTGAATACCAGGATCTCTTTCTTGTCACATTTTAGGCTTGTTAACACTACCAGTGCACTCAATCTGCATATACTTCTAGGAAACATCCCATCTGTTGAGCCTAGGCATACTCCATATGCAGTTTGACTATGTTGTATCATCTACATAAGGTCTTGCACTTTCTGGACATTTTCCTTTTTTAAATCCAGTATGAAAACTGCTGTAAAATACATATACCTTCCAGGGACAAGATCTGGAACCTAGTTTTCACCCATAACCCCCTTAGGGGTCAGATCTGATTCTTTTTCATTCTGCTCTCAACATTTTAAGATTCGGTGATTCTTGGCTGTACGCTCAGGTTCAAAAAGAAAGGTAAAATTGCATTCTTCCCCTTGCAAGAGCTGGGAGCCTGGTGTTTGCTGAGCCCTCCCAAAATGTGGATCGAGGCTTCTTGAAGTTAAGGATGTGAAACCCAGGATTCTTGTTGCAGAGCTATTACACAAGAAACATGGGAACACTGTTGTTCCTATCACTTTCTTCCTATGATAAAGTGACAGAGTTTTATCTTTTTAGCATATTTTACAGGTTCCCAAAGTTTTCTGTTTGTTCCTTCTTTCCTCTGCCTACATAAAAATAAATATTTCCCAGGATATATTCCCTTCTCCTGCACCCTTCTGAGGGCTGGCAGGTACTTGTTTGGACTATATCATTCTCAGGAAATGTTTTGCACCTCTTTGGTAACTATTTCTAAGGAACTTGAGCACTTTCGTTATGAAGAATGAATCTTTTTTGCACTCTGCCAGTGCCAAACGCATAGGCAACCAGCAGCAAATTTAGGCAAAGCAATGCTGAGTTAGACAAGTTGGTAATATCCTCACTTCCTTTAAAAACACTGCACAATTTAGAATATATGAAGAATGTTTTTTCGAACTTCAGCTTGAAAGATACAGTGTTCTAGGTAGGAACTCCAAAAGAAACATTAAACTTAGAAAACAAATTTCCTGTTAATAGTTTCCTTTCATACTTTGTTTTTTAAAAAGGAAATTGTCCATTTAGAAACTACGTTTATTCACTTATAAATGAACCAGAAATATTAGAAAGTACATATATCATCAGATATCGGCCTATGGTTTATACCCTATTTTGTTATGTTTAAAAGCTGTACCTTGAAGGAGGAGGGAAAAAAAAGGCTGTATCCCTGATTGTAAGAACGAATTTCTCCTATTTCATATCAAATCTGGCTTGGGTAGAATTTTGAAATATAGCCATATTCCTAAGATGTATACCCATCTAAAGTAATTGATGTACTTACAGGACTAGCAAACATTAAATCATATGTTTTACGGTTCACTGAGATAAATTGATAAAAAAAGCATTGGTAGGTCACTGCTGCCTGTGACCCATGGAAGTTGCTTGGATATACCATGCAACTCATTCCACAAATAACATTAGATGGCAAAGTAAATATTTGCAGAATGAAAAACTGTTCCTGTAGCTTTTCTTCTGCAATTTCTCTTTCATGGCTATAAATACTGCGATTTTTTTTTTTTATTTGGTCTTGCACAGACAGTGGTTTTTATATAAGTACATATTGTACACAAAGCTCCAATTCCATACGCAATCCATGTTTTATTCTACTGAATAGAGGGGGGGAAAAGAGATGATATTGTCTTTAAGCGTTAACAGAATATATTAGAGGCTAAAGATGGATAGCATGTGACTGCTCATAAAGGAAAATCTGGGGAAATTCCATTGGGGAAATTAGGGAAAGAAAAGAACATCTTTTTAGGGCTTTTTCATTTACAGGCAATATTTCAAAGAAGTGAGAAGTGCATGAAATGAGTTAGATGTTTCTGAGCCAAATATGTGAAGGCAAAAATGTCAAATATATTTTTTAATTCCAGGCTTTTTTTTCCCCTAATTTTGCTTGTCTCTAGTAATTTTAAAATAAAAGTTGTCTTCACATACTGTGCTGGAACACATATTAGGATTATATCAGATATGTCAAAGTTGTTACACTTTCTTTCTTGTCAAAGGGAAAGGGAATTTGACTATTTTGAGGGTGAAATTCTGCTCTTGGATGTGTCTTTGGGTGTGTAGGAGTATGAGGAGTGAATCTGTACATAGAGGGAAGCAAATTGTTACAAGGCCTTTCTAGCGGCAGTGGAAGTTGTTAATATGTCAAGATGCAGAATAACAGAGTCCACAGTAAGTCTGATTTACTGCAGAAAACAAGTGTCAAATCAGAGTGAAGTGAATAGTTCAAGGAAGATTAAAACTTTTCCAAGTTGTGATAATGGGAAAAGAAATTTAAAAACCATATAAAAAGAAGAAAAGAACATAATGACAAAGAACTTAACTGAAACTCTAAGGAAACTTTGGGTATTACAGAAGCATAAGATGTGTACAAAGGGCAAGTTCAAAGCTCGCTGTAGTTTATTAGATCTGTGAAAATCAAGCATAAGCGTTAAGAAAGTCAAGTGAATTTAATTAGGCAATGATACTATATAGAAATAGATTGACAGATAAAACAGACATGAGCAGTTAGTAAATAATAGTACAGAACAATGGAAAATTGTTCTTTATTATTGATGCTTTTTCAGCAAGATTGCAATGACAGGAGCAACGTGTCATAATTAAAAACGCATACCTTCAGTTTTATCTGTGATTTAATTACAATTTACTAATATATATAAATTATCTTTTATATATATATTTATATAAGTTCTGACAACTCTAGAAGCTTGAGATAGACTCTAAGCAACACAATTAGCAAAACGGTAGCAAGGCAACTTACAGTTCTATCAGCAGAAACATTAGCCAAACTCCTATCTTTTATCTTTCTAGCAGATGTTGTTTAAGGAAAGTACAGCCTGTGCTTCAGATATTTAAAAATTTGTTTTAGAAAACTGTCCAGATTTATATGGTATCATTTGATTAAAAAAAAGTTCAGAAAAAAATCTCTCTCCAAATATTTTCTGCTAATGCGTTTTATTGCAGGGTGTGCATTTCTTGTTGCATTTACATTGTATTCACATTTCAGAAATTAACTTAAGTATTTGTTGAAAAAGATGGTTTGATTCATGCTCCTTACATTTTATTTCAGGTGGAAATCTCACAGGAGCAATATTTAACCCAGCGCTGGCCTTTTCGTTACATCCATATTGTTTCTATGAAAATTTTTTGAGTTATTCGCTAGTATATTGGCTAGCACCATCCTTAGGTAAGTTCTTAAAGATGTTATCTACTTTGAGAAAGTCTTATTTAGTACAGAGTTCAAAAATCAGGAATTAGGTATTCTTTATTTCATAGTCTTCCAGTGTTCTGTTTGACATAAAGTCCATGAGATGCCTAATTATGTGCACAAGTCATTCCGATTTGTGGTTTCCTTTTGCAAATGTAGGCTGCAAATTGTAAACACATTTAATGGCTTGTGTAGAGAACCTATAACTTAATAGTCTGTTTTGCAAGCCAAGGTTAGATGTTTGCTCAGTTTATATGGGATAGTTTGAACAGTATCACTTATTGTACCTAGAAAAACAAACAATGGGATAATTTTAAATGAGAAACATTTAGGTTAACTAGTAAGTTATAAACCAGTGGCTGTTTACTCTGGAATGTGGTCCATTTGGAGAAGCCTGTTGACACCTCAGTATTGAAATCCAGCCTGTTTGAGGTATAATGGGTGTTCTCACATTGACCAAAAGCCCACCAATTATTAGCCAGACCTGTACATTCCAGCAGAATCTTAAGAAGAAGAGGCCACTTAGGAGTAAATGCCAACCTGATAAAGCTCAAAAAGAAATACAAATTGGTTAGCATGCAGTCGTTTTCTGTCTTGATTTGTGACATTATATGAGTATTTCTTTTTTAGATTTTAAGACAAGTGCTTAAAATAGGCCATCTCAATAATTATCACTTTAAAATCTAATCTTTTTCATCTCCCTAATGAGTTCCCATTCTATATTCCTCTTCCCAGCAACCACTATTACAAATAATTTGTTTTACATCTAGGAATAAGAAAGGCATATCTGAGTAATTAGAATTTTTCCAACTTAAAACCCAGTTTCAGTTTGGAACTTACTGATTTTAACTTTGGCTCAGTTCAGATAGAAGTGCTTCAAGTAACCCTGTTTATTGTTTATAGTTACTTTAACTAATCTTCAGCCTTGTGCTTCAAGGTCACATTAAAGAGCCAATTTACTAGTCTTAAGTTCTTTAATGACTGTTAATCCTACTAGAAGATGCAGCAATAGTACAGGAAGCAAGGAGAGCTCTGGAACACAGGAGAAAACACGCAAAGGGCTTCAGTTGTAACTTTTTCATCTTCTCCTAGTGCATCTCTGCAAGTTTCAGTTGTAGTGACTCTCAATAAGTCAAAATGAAGGAAACTATTTTTTTAATCCAACTGAATTCACTATAATACAGTTTTCTTAAATAGGGCGTCGAAACAGGATACCTGAACAACTGAGAAAACTTGCACCATTCCAGTTAGCAGCTATCGAAATGCTTTAAGCAAAGTTGAAGGGAGCACTTGTGTCCTATGAGAACATACAATTCTCAGAACTCAAGTTTAGATTTCTATTAAGTGATTACAACCTGATCCATTTTGAGATTATCTGGCTAGTAAGTACCTGGCCTTTGCTATTTTGACTACTATTTTGACAACACGGCTACAAAGGTGATTAGGGGCCTGGAACATCTGCCCTACGAACAAAGGCTAAGAGAGCTGGACCTGTTCAGCCTGAAGAAGAGAAGGCTGAGAGATCTAATCAGTGTATATAAATACCTTAAGAGAGGGAGTGAGAAGGATGGGGCTAGCCTCTTTTCGGTGGTAGCCAGCAATAGGACTAGAGGAAATGGCCACAAATTGAAGCATCAAAAGTTCCACAGGAACTTATAGAAAAAATTTCTTGACAGTGAGGGTTCCAGAGCCCTGGAACAGGCTGCCCAGGGAGGTTGTGGAGTCTCCTTCTCTGGAGATCTTCCCAACTCGCTTGCGTGCAGCCCTGTGCAACATGTTCTAGGTGACGCTGTGTGTGCAGGGGGTTGGACTAGATGACCTCTAGAGGTCCCTTTCAACCTTAAGCATTCTATGATTCTATGACAACTGATGTAAGGAAACTATTTTGCAGAAGTATTTCAAGTGATTGAGGCTTTGGTAAGGGAAAAAAAAACAGCTGTTGAGTTGATTGGAAATGTGATGTGAATTCAGAATGTGTTTAGGGAGAAATGTTACATTCCTGTGCATATTCATAAATGGTGCATTTTTCTTTAATATATAAAGAATACATACAGAATACCATGAATGTTGTCTATAATTTACTAGGGAAATAGTTTTCAAACAAAGCAGTTGTGAACATGTCTACTCAGGACACCATCATGTAACTATTGTAGCAAAACATTTTGTTACAGATATTGGCTCTGTTGACCACCTGAAGGGCAGATCTGTTTGTTTTAATAGGAGTATTTCACTACCAAAGAAGGGATTTCGTGTAGGCGTATACTTCATCTTATAAATCAAGAATCTTAAACAAATATTAGGGATATGAGGAGGAAATACATAAAAGATGCACATGAAATTTGATCAATTCAGAAATGCAGATCTACAAATCTAACACCAAGCGATACTGTCTTCTGATATATTTTGGAAGTTAGAATGTAATAGGAATAAAAAGGTGGTTTTTTTCCTTTATAATGGACCAAATGAGGAGATATTTAGGAAATGAACCTATTACAGTAATAAGACTCTTAAGAAATCTCTAAAAAAAGAACCTCATAAGAGCAAATGATGAGGGCAAGGATGTTTAAATGCAATTTTTAAAATCACTTTTAGAGTCCATCTGTCAATGCAAATATTGTACCAGACTTCCTAGAAACAGAGTCATAATGAGAAATTCAGGTATCCAGAACGAAATTTTGATTTGATTTCTCCCTTTTCCCAGCATCTTGGATGAAACTCCAGTTGGCTTCTGCAAAGTGTAGTACAGTCTCCTTTATACCCATATCAAATACCCATAAGGACCATTCATATAATGGATATCCTGACCTAGCCATGAAACATTGCTTAGCCCCCTCTCTAAAACAGTCTTCTTAGAAAAGATGCTTTGAACAAGAAGCAAATTGATAATCACCTTTACCAGAGGAGGAAAGTAGAAATTTTCTTCAGGAGAAGCAAATCCACTGGTATTTTATGGTCCTTCATGAAGAACTTATTAAGGAACTTATTTTTCAAAATGGTTTTAATGAAGTTTCTGTTAACATGATTTTAAGTAGCATCAAAACAGATGTGTTACAGGCCATCTTGCTGGCTGTAGGTGGCAAATGAGGTTTGCAACAACTAGCTAAAGTCTTATGTTTCCATACCCTGGTACTCTGGAATCATTTCAGTTATATAGTGATCATTTGAGAAAGCATCAATGTGCATGCAGTCCAGGAAGTTCCTAAGAATGTGTCACCAACCAACTGCAGACACTAGAAATATATATGTAAATCAGTGTTAATGCTGTACTTGGCCTGCTCAAGAACAGCTAAACTGGTGGTGAATATGGCTGTTTAGGTCACAGTCCTCACAAGAGTTCAGGGTTCAAAGGAAGGCAGGGAAGGTAAACAACACTGTTCGGACTTTGGACTTAATGAGAACAGAATTCTGCTTACTGAGGGAACTGTTCAGCAGAATTTTCTGGGAAGATGCCACAAAGAAGAAAGGTATCCAGGAGAGTTGTTTGATACTTTATTTGGTTTTGTTTAAGTTAATTGAGAACTCAGCAACAATCTGATGTGCACTTAAACTGGGAACTTTGACTGGATGTTTTCCCACTTGGCTAGGCAATGAGCTTCTCTGTGAACAAGAGAGAAAAGCTCTTCATACTGACAATGGAGAATGATCTCTAGGCTTCACAAGCTCTTCCTAGCCCTTCATTTATAAAACCTACAGTTAGAGGACACTTTTCAGCTTTAAAATAAACCCTGAATTGGAATGATCTCCACACACGCACCAAAAAAACCACACTATACTGTACCTGCTTTCAATATCTCACAACAGTGCAGTTACTAAAATAGACTTTGCTAGTGAACTTGGCCTGATCCTAATTGCTAAGAAATCAAGATCTGGTTAGTTGGTGTGTCACATATGTGCCCTGGCACAAAGGTAGGAGACGTTTGGCAGGAGGAAGGTGCACAGTGAACTCACCCGGGCAAAGTTTTCCATCCTTGCCTTATATGCAGCAGAAGCAAAACATAGTAAAACATTTGGAGAGCAAAATTATCAACATCTTTGGACATTAGAAAGGTCTACTGAAAGCTTCTTTGCAAGAAATTATGTCCATGTTTTCAAAAAGTATTGATTGTCTCCTAACTTTTCTAGAGAGCATTTCATTTTTTCTGTAGTCTCCACTGTATGTTAAATTCTTAAATATTTTAACGTAATGTTTATTAAAGGTCTTTTTTGTATTTTGTCTTTACAGGCACAATACTTGTCTCTTTTGTATGGGATGAAATCCTCCCTCGGATATCTTGAGACCAAATTCTGATCTCCAGTAATACAACATTATTAAAAAGATCATGGAAAGAAAAGTTAAATTGCAGCCACCTGTGGAAAGGATGCTCTCAGAAAACTTCTAATTTCTACATCACCTTTCAGTGTATTTTGGATTTTGTTTTTTTCAAGTACATGACTTAAGGCTTTGTACTGAAATTTTCATTTTGTAATAGTATGTTGGGATGTTGAGAGTATTTGCCAACATCTTCAGTCAAGCCATATGAATGTGAAGAAAAGGACTGATAAATACAGGGACTTTGTCACTTTAGCCAGAAGTGCCATAATTGCTGACCTTTACTACAACTGCATATAAAATTAATTTTAGAGAAGTACTTTTTTTTGAAGTTTGATTTTATTGGTTTCTTCCCATAGAAAGCACCTGAAAAAAAAAAAGACCTGAAGCTTTCATGCTTTTAGTGACCTCAGAATTTTCCTACTTGCAACATATGGCACCTCCAAGAGGAAGAAAGGCTGTGCTACTTGCTAGAGGAATCTTCACAGCTCCATTCTAGAGGTACTCTATGCCAAAATAAAAGAGTAGGACCAACATTGTTTTAATAATACTCATTGCAGGTAAGTAATTCCTCTCTTCCTTTGGGAAGACTGTCCCATCCTGTCTCACTATAGTATTCCAGAAGTTTATCTTAGCTGGGAAGAGCGTTAATAAAGTACTGATAAAATTCTACAGAAACATAAGTCAAAGTGCACTTTAGGAAAAATGTAACCTGATTATGCTGCCTTTTGAGAAACAGAAGAGATAGTATAAAGGGATGAACAAATCAAAACTTGATTTGTCCTTGATTTTACATAGTAAGTCTTACAAGATATTTTTCTTGAAATAAATCCAATTTGCTGGAGTAAGAGAAGATCTAAAAACATAAGAATGCTACATTCCCCACAGAAGGGCATGCACTTGCTCTTAGAGCCTTGGTTGACGTAAAGAGCAGGGCTAGCTATCCTGAAGTCCTGTTTGCAGCATGAGCTTTCTTTTCTTGATCCTGTGTAATTGTTTTATAGATGACATTAGGTCAAGATAGAGTTTTCAAAATTAAGATTAAATTTCAGTAACAAACTAGTATTTGCAAACCATAATTTAAGAGGGGGAGAGAACTGGACAAGGTTTGTTACACAGTAAAATACTGAACCAAGTCTTTAGCAGCTACTGTGCTCAGCTATCTTTCTTGAAAGAGCTTGAGAATAAATAATTTCATGTAATTTCTTACTTGTTCCAATAAAATCTTTTATTTCAGAGAATTAAAACATGTTTAGATTATATTGTAAAAATAAAATCAACTGTTTAGACATACTTTTCATACAACTTCTGAAAACTGTATACTTGTAGTAAGACTATTCAGACACTTAAAGCATTATTGTCCAGTTGCAGCCTACGTGATGATTCAAGGCTCACACTTCTAAAACAGACTTGACTTTTATGTGTCAGTAGCCTTTCTGCTTTTATCAGTTTCACTCATTTTAAGGAGATCCGTATCTTAGAGATTTCCCCCTCGATGGGGCTCTGCTTTTACTGCACTTCTCAAGGCCAGTTTTTAACCTGGGTTCGTACAAAACAAGCCTTACGTAATGAATTGGGTCTGATGTGTTTATGAAGCCAGGGGTAAATGTCTCAAAAAGAGAAAAAGTGGCCAAGGAGATGAGAAACTAAAGACACAAATTAACAGAAAGCCAAATTTAGCTAGATTAGAGGCACTTTCATTTCATTTTCAAAGGTCTGTAAGCAAACTGCTTAAAGAGGTCAGATCTGACTTCTGCATGTTGGTATTGTTTATTTTGGCATAGCATAGAGTTTAAAAAAAAACCTTAAATTGTGTTCAAAGGGGGGAGATTAATATGTAGCATCTCTATACTCAAAGTAGAATTGTTAAGAATTTGACAGGCCTTAGATCAGCTAAATTAAGGCAAAACAAAAGCAAAGAAGTCATAAAAAATAAAGGTAAGAGTCAATTTAATTTATAATGTAGCCAATACTATTTTAAAGTCAAAACACATAAATAAAGATTGCTTGAAAATTTTTGGCAGAAATTTCACAAATGGTCCAAGCATAAAGTTAGCTTTAAAGCTAAATCTCCTAAACTTCCATAAGACAGTAATTCACAATATTACCTTCAGACTTCATCCAGAGCAGTTTCTTTCCAACTGAAATTAATAGTAGGCTGTCAGTTTAACTGGGAGCATGGTACAATAACTTCACTTGGAGCTCTATTGATACAACTCTTTCTTCACAAGGTTGCTACAGCCTGGACACAGAGGAATTGGCACTACAGGTTAACTCTGCCTGTCTGCCAGCATACCTAACGCATACAGTTCATGAAAAGCAACAAACTCATTTCAGGAACTAAGACTTATGCAGAAATCAAGTTTGAATTGCTATTGATTTCATGAAATTTCTTTCCTGAACTATATTACTGGTAGTTTTTTAGTCCCACTTAGCTATCCCCAATCTCACCATCTCCAGGTTCTCTAAAGGGAAGCATGCAAGTTCAAGCATTGCTTTGTACCATCCCTTCTAACTCTCTACCTTAAAAATCCATATAGGCATTTATATAAAATATATACATGTATGCACACAATCAAAGTAGTAAAGCACTAATGAAGGGACAATGCAAGTAAAGTCTGTGTGGTACCTCCTTTTAAATTCAATACCAGGAAGACTGGAGAGCCAGATAGATGTTGGTTTGGGTCTTAGTCAAACCTTTTCTTCCCTGTAATTCCTCGTAAACAGCTCCATGGTCTCACTGCTTTAGCTCATCTTCCTCATTTCTGGAAGGCTCAGCAGAGAAACAAGTGAATAAATGAAAGGTCATTTACTATGGTTAATTTTACAGGACTTTAATGTGCCTTTCAGCTCCAAGCAGAACACTATTAAAAGAGCAACTGGTATATCTACAACTCCAGCAGGGAGATCCCACAGGACTGAGCTCTCTTAGCTGCCTCCATTGGGGATATGTCACAGTAACACTTAATTCTGCCTTATAGAGGCACTGTGAACATATTCTGACCATTTATTCTCATATCTAATTACATTTATATATAAACAAGTCCAGCAAAGCCCCTTTTCAATCAAAGGAAGCACCAGTAACTCAAAGGAGGTCTGCTCAGAGTTTCCAGCAGCTTGCTGAAGGAAATGACTGAGACCTGCAACGTAATTGGATTGTGAGATACAAAAATCTTAGTTTATTTAACAATGTTGTTAACATTTAATACAAAGACACAAAGCATTCTCATATTCAAGACTTTACAGATTTTATTCTATCTTCTCCACTACCCACACTGCTTCCAAAGAAATGACAGGGAATAGCACTGGACAGATAGTTACTTGAGGGGCTTTGAATTTTTTTTGCTTTTACTCCTTGGCCAACCTTACTTCACTTTAGTGAGGCTTTGCCACGTTCCTATTCTCATTCTCCTCCCTTGGTGCAATGAACAGGTACAAAAATATGGAAAATTCTAGGACAATCTAGAATTCTGTTCTACTTTCAATTTTATTTCTGAAGTCCTAGAACTCCTAAAAGGCTTCTTGGAAACACGATGTCATTAACCCCATTCAAGTGTTAGATGCAAGAGGATTTATTGTGTGTTTTCTGTTTTCTTTAATAAACCCATTGTGGTCACGAATGTCAAACCCTATTTTTAAACATCTATAAAAGCATTTATAGACCTAGATATCTATGCTTAGGTCATTAAAAGAAAGGTTAACTCCCGATAGTCACTGCGAAGTCTTCAGTTTTACGGCTTATTCTGGAAGTGCCCAAGAAGAATCTGAAAGACACAAGACACTGGGTTTACATAACAGGCATTAAAATATAAGTTTATTAATTTTCACAAAGTAGCAGTATCCAATATTCACAGTCACACAGGAGAGCAATTTAATCTCACTAGGGAATTAATTTTCAGAGGGCTTGAGCAACTTTGCTTTTGACAGCACATCTGAACGGAGGTCAGCCAAGGACAAAGCGCATCTACAATCAACAGTCAAACATTTGTGTCCTGGAAGACCCTCTAATACCTCCACCCCCCACAGGGACACATCGCTTAGTTCAAAACAAGTTACTGGAAGTGTGTGATGCGACAGACAAAACACTGCTTATTACAAGACTAACAGGAATGTCACCAACTGCCAGTGAGTCTTCCGGGAGCCTCATCAAGCAACGTCACATCTCATTTGGGTAACGAGCAGCAACGCACAACACAAGTTGCTTTAGAGACAGAGCAGCACTCTGCTCTCCAAAGGATTGCCAGCAAGATGTTCCTGCAAATACTGGTTTTGCTGTTCAGAAAGTTAAAACGATTGAGCTGCTCCTGAGATACTGAGAAGATCTCTGGGTGCTCCCCCTCTGCCCTGCTCTCGGCACATAAACCCAAGCTGCCTTTATTTGCAGGATGATTAGCACAGACCTCAGAGCTGTCCTTCTCATGGCACATCTTCAGTTGATTATCCTAGATTTCTGAGTATACTTACATTACATCAGCAAGATGATACTGGTGATTGATTGGAAGAGGCCTGTCCTTCATAGAGATCTTGGCCACGTCATTGTAACCCTTGACACTGCATGTACAGGTCACTTTATCCACCCTGATAGGGATCAGTGCCTTAGCTGATGGTTGTAACAGCTTACAACCAGGCAAAAAAGAAAGTCATCCCTATCTATTTCACTCTTGCAACATTTGTTTCTCACAACCATCTGGTGCACCTTCTAAAACATGCAATAAAGAGCAGGAAAAATCTGCTAAAACTCAAGCCTTTAGATCTGAAGAGTCTCCCTTACATTTTAAAGTACATTATTTATCAAATAAAGCAGAAAGGGAGCGCCACTGGAAGCTTACATCCGTAAACCGTGACCAAGGAAAAGCGTGAATTTTCACAGCAAAGAATAAGTACAAATTCAGGACCAATGACAGCTGCTCAGATCAATAAGCAAACACAGGGATATTCGGAGTTTCAAAAATGCAGCAGTATTGAGGGTAACGACAAATAAGAACAAGATGTGGGGAAGAAGGAAAGCAGACACACAGCACCTCGCCCTCACTTAAGTCCTTGGTGAAGGACTTACGGACTTCATTTTCTTCAGCCTCTTTCTCCTTCCTAGCTGTGCCCTTTCTTCCTCCACACTCCTTTCCTTTCAAGCTTTCTGCTTGAAACTTTCCTGCCAGTGTTTACAGCAGGACAGGTACAGTGGCAGGAGCTGTCTTCTCACCTTGGAGCGAGCCACAAGAACAGGGCGAGGGTGCTGCTGCTTGAGCGGTGCGTGTAAACTGCTACCACTAGCAGATGCTGCTCAAGCAGGGCTGAAATTAGATCTCCACTGGGCCTCTATGTCCCCATGCAAAGAGTCCCAGAATAAGCTGTTAATCCTCTCCGCCCCAGCATGGGTTGGAAACACTGGCATATCTCATAATGCCACTGAGAGTGGATAAGAAGTAATGAGCAGCAAGAAGTACTCAGTAAGTTGCATGTTTCTAACAACCAGCCCATGCAAAAAGCTTGGTAACTTTACCAGGACATGTTCCTGCTCTGCTCACAGGGAAAGAAGAGAGGGATACTGCACTTTTTTTTCTCCCTCCCGAAAGGCCTGGGAAATATTGTACACTAGGGGTGAAATAAAAGACACTAATGACAGTAACTTTCCAGCAGGGCTCCAGTATTCACATGAGCATCCAGGAATCTTTCTAACAGCAGGTGATTCACTACATCTATGAAAAGGCTGATCTGTCTTCCAGTGAAGCATGTGCAGGCAGGTTACCCAAACAGGGGATAGTTGAAGCTGATACATGATTTTGAATAGCTACACGACAATTCACTGAGCAAAACAACTCTCTCTTCTTTCTCTAAACCACCATCATCCTCATATTTCAAGATATGTCCAGTTAGCAGTCTGAGATCACTTAAACACATTAAACAAACTAGAGAGAAGGGAGCCTAAGCAGCGGTGTCTAAAGACAGGAGAACTTACAGCAGCATCTGGACTCCTCAGTGATCAACTTCTGCATCTTCAAATTGCCCTGCAACCACTGGTGCTAGATCCACCTCCATCCCATCTGAAAGAAAAGCAGCTACAATGCTACGAAATACCGCAGTGCTCGCGAGTAGAGGGGATTATCACAGAGCAGACAGCGAGTGCCCTCTGTAGGCGAGAGACTTCCAAAGCAGAAAATACCTCAAGTGAACTTTGGAAGAAAACACTGCTGTGAAACAAGACGGTACCATTAAAAAAGCTAATGAAATGGCTGAAAATGACTCAAAGATGTGTGATAAAATAAATCGAGCAGTTAGTGTAAGTTTTCAAAATCTGGAGGTTCAGAAACTGGCAAAAAAAAATTAAACAAAGAACATTCCACAAAGGTGAGTATATAATTTAAAGACTTATTTGTGTTATGTAATTTACAAAACTCAAGAACAAAGAGAACCTACAAATAAGTCATTAAAGCAATTAAAGATTGAAAAAAGAAATCATGCAAATGCTTCTGTAAATGCTTCTGGATTAGGATCTTATTTGCTTTATTCCAAGCAAGCTGATAGCTAGAAATCCACAAGAACTACTTGATTTTCCATCATTAATCTCTTAAAATGTGAGGCCATAGTGAAACACTGAGCTTGATATTATAAAAGGAAGCAGTATCACTGAATCGCTTAGCTATTCTTCTCATAGGCACTGTATTGCTCGGGTGAAAACAGCATGGACAAAATCTGAGAGATCTGTCAACAAATCTTACTCCTCAAATAGCTGTTTAAATAGCTAATGGCATTCAGAATTTAAGAAAGTCCAGAAACACTAGCTGTGAACAAAGATAAAACTGCCCTGACACATACAGCATGCCATGACAATACCCATAGATCTGTACGAGCTCAGTACCAGTACTTATGGACTGGCCAGAGTAAGGAGAGAGGAAAAAAAAAAAAAACCCACTGTTTTAACGCATTTTTTAGTGACCAAAAAGCATCATCTTACCTTCAAACTCCCTTATGGAGTCCTCTGTCCGCACTCCAGCCATGTTGTACTGACTGCTCACGGACTGGGCTAACATGCCCTCCAATCTCTCCAGAGTGGCCTGTCCCTCTGCAGTTAAGTGCGACAATCCTTCTTCGTAAGTGTAAAAGCTGGGGATGTCACCTTGTCCTAGCTCTGCAAAAGTGGGTTTATGTTTGTCAGGTTTAAACGTAGGAGCCTGGACAGAGCAAGGTGGGGGGAATATGAAAACAACTGGACAAATTATGCCAAGATGGGCACTCACAGAGCTACTGCAAAAAGGTTATAAAGCTGCTTATGCCAATAATGTAACACAACAGCTACATTACTAGGCCACGGCTCAGCAGGGGCACAGGACTCATTATAACACATTCTCTGGAAACAAGACTGACACTAATGCCTTGGGGCTTTCAAAAATGAGAATAACAGGATCTGCCAGTTAAAATTACAGATTTTCTGAGTTTTATATTCTGTTTTTTTACCATAAAGAATGAGGTGATAACAGTAATCAACAAGGGGCTTCTTAATATACTATTATAATATATAATATACAATTATAATATTCTTAATATACAATTATAATCCTTCTCATGACAAAAACTGTAAGAGAAGTTTGAGGTATCCAGGTGATGATGGGTATTTGAAAAGACAGAAAGTCACTAACCATGAGCCTCAACATCATACTCCTCCCCTTCGTAGTCATTGTCCGAATCTTCATCTTCAGGATCTGGGTGCAGAGCCTGGCACTCGCACATGGCAGAAAACATGGCTTCCACTGCACGAAACAACAGAATTATCTTCTCTGCAAGTGGCCAAAGAGGATGCTAACTGTTAATCTGCAGTGTTTAAAATCTGTTCTGCACAGCTCCAAAATCAATAAGCCACTTCTAATCTCATCTTTTATGGCTACTCACATTGAGTTTTATGCCTAGGAAGCTTAAAACAACTAGTGATTTATAACTGGCACAACCTGGTCATACGTGGGTATGACCAGATAATGTGACTCTGCTTTGAAAACATAAAGATGCTAGAAGTGACATTGCCCAAAATACACTGGGGCAGTCAGGGGTTGCAGAGATGAGGAGAGAAACCTTCTTGTTTCTCCATCAACCCTTTGGAACAAAAAAAGTGAGAAATCTGGGACTGAGAGATCAGAGGAAATGAGACTGTTCCTTTACCAAAACAGCCACAGAATTATGATTTGATCACATCACCCAACAAACCACCAGCCAAGCTAAAATCAAATCAGGTTTCCTAGATCCAGTCTGATGCTTTATCCTATATGTCTGTATCCGAGTGTCTTCCATATGTAGTGAGGAATATTAACATCTCAGTCCATCACTGAGCTTTTAGTTGGGAAAAGCTAAAATATGAGTTTCCTCTTCACTTACAGGCCGACTTGTCACTGGGTACAAATCTGAATTCTGCAATCGGTTCGATATCATCATCACTGTCTTCATCCTCCTCCTCCTCCCCTTCAGCCATGGGTGCTTCTTTTGTGTTGTCTTATTTAAGAAATGGAAAGATATAAAAGCAGCATGTTTATTTTGTCAAAAAAGGAGAAAGACAGACAGACAGAAGTAAGCAAGCTTTCAGGAACATATGTATAATCAAATCAGAAACCTGCACACAACTATGTGTGTTCTGCAAGGGCTCATAAGGCTTAAGTCCCATAAACACTGACAAAATGCAGGGAACACTGCTCCCCTCTCCTCATTATTCCCAATTTACATGTAAGGTTGGGAAAGGCCCAAAGAAAGCAGCTCCCACCCCCACGGCAAGCAGCAGCTTCCCACACAGCAACACCCAAAGCTTTAGGGACAGTGGTTATTGTAGGATACACTATTCACCAGCATCAGATGCTTGTTAAAAACAGCTGTGCTCAAAACATCTGTAGATAATTCCATGACTATTACCTGTAAGGTGCTAAAACACCTTTAAAACAGGTAAACCTTATATATGCTTAGCATTGCTGTCATGAAAGCTAAGTTCCAGTTTGCCTTTCTCAGAGGTCTGTGGCACCTGTGGCAGATCCACACTCAATTCCTCCATCTCCTGGCCAGCAAGGAAGAGTTAGAAGTAGAAATTATACATATAGACAAGACAACCGCGGGCACAAACCTGCTCCCCCACTTCTGTGAATTACAGACTTGCATAACAAAGCAACAGCGAAACATTTTATTTTCTGTAGACACAAAAATACAGAGCAGATACTTCTGATGCGTCCCTTTGTGGCTAGGAGCTGACAGCTTCCAAAGCACAGAACCGCTTTCTACAGAAAAACAGAAACTCTGCAGGGCTGCTCCCCAGAGCAGATACTAAACTAACTACAACATCAAGGATACTCAGGAGCCAAGAAGCTGCCAGCCAGCTGCCTCCAAAAATAAAATGTCCATGGAAGAGACCCAATCCTTGCCCGATGGACACCAGCAGGCAAAGCTCGCTGCTAAGTCCAGCTCTGCTCTCAATGAAGCCGACCCCCAACTGCTTCTCTTCACAAATATAAAGTGAATAAAAAAGGGGAGGAGAAGCAGCAATGAGGCACATACATGCACACAGCATAATGAAGACAGGCAGAACAAAATGTACCCTAACCAACTACGAAATCATGACTCCTTTATATCACACTTAATAATAGGTCTTCCAGAAGACAAAATAAAAAAATAATAATAATAATAAAAAATCAATACACCAAAACACCCAAGTAAGCGATGAGATTAAAAGGTTTTCTTTCTCTAGGTCATAAAGAAAGAAGATTGGCTAAAAGGTTGATTTTGTTGGAATTTTTTGTACATTTGTTATGCCTGGTAATATTAGCAACTGTCATCTTTATTACAAATTAATTCTAAGAGAAATTAGAATGAAAGCTTCCAGGTTAGTCTGAAATAGTGATGCAGATCAGCATGGAAGGGACTAACAGTCCGAGTGATATTGTGCTTCAAAATCATCCTCCATAGATTCAAAAAAGAAAACACAAGATATTATTTAAATGAACTGTACCATTTTCAAAACCACATGCTACTCCCTTTGTAGCTTGACCATACCTTCAAATTTTGCGTTCACCATGACGTACAGATGCTCCCATGGGTAGGCGCTTAGATCCCTGGAGATAGCATGTAAACTTATAGTGGGATAATCCAAGGAGAACCCAAGCCCAGAGTTATCCAGCCAAGACAGGCGACTAAAAACAGGAGGAAAGACACAAGTTAGAGACTTTCTGAGGAATCTTGAGACATGTGGCTCACACCCTCAGGAAACCAAAGCAACCCAAATAAATAAACGCAGTAATTCTTCAGGAGGAGGACAAGGCTCTTATCCCACTCTGCTGATACAGGATCCTTAACATAGAGCAGCTCCTATTTAAAGGTAACAGAACCCTGTGCATAAGGAACATGAATCTGAGCACCCCAAACAAATTCCAGCTTTATGGGCAATAAAGGCTGGTTTTTTTTCTTCCTACCTCTTTATTTTCTATGCCCCATAGACAGGTATCACCTCAGAGATATCAGCAGGGCACCCCGGGTATAATTTGTAACTCAAACTGTCAAACGCTCTGCATTTTCTCAAGGTCGAGCGTACACGAGGGAAACAAGATCACAATTCCCGCAGGATTATAGCTGCGATGTTATTATTCCAATGTTATTCTGCTGGGAAAGAGGCTTGTTTTCCGACCAGCAGAACAAGACGAAGGTTTTACCCGATGCCCTATGTGCTGCAGCCTCCAGTTCTCCACATTTTCACCCCCATCCCTAACCACAACTGGAGGCAGAACAAGTCAGGCCCAGCCCAGAGCTACACAGTTGCCAGAGAGCAGCCTCTTTCCTATGGGAGAAACCCCTGTCTTTCAGGTGACAAATCCAAGGAATATTTAGGTGAATACGTTGGAGCTAGATACGGAATTTTTGGGAATATTTTCGCATAAGTTGAGACAGTTAAGCCAGGATAAACCACGTGAAAACGGGTTAAAAACAAGAGCTAGCACAGCGGGAGCAAGGAGTTCCTCTCCTAACCCAAACCAAGCCGTTTTCAGCGTTGGCAGCCGTTACCGTAGAGGCAACCCCCGGATCCACGGCCTCCCGGTGCTCCGGAGCGCCCAACCCCGCCCGCCAGCGCGCCCCGCACCTCTCGGCGATGTAGAGGGTGCCGGCGCCCAGGCTGCGTCCCGCCAGCACCGCCTCGGTGTCGGGCTGCCGGTGCCGGAGGCCCTCGGCGGGCGGCGGGAACCGCTTGAGGAAGCTCATGGCCCGGCCCGGCCCGGCCCGCGCCGCCACCGCCTCAGCGCTGCCGCCGGAAACGGAACGGAACGGTTCGGATCAGAACGGGTCAGAACCGCGCCGCGCATGCGCGCGCGCCGCTCCATGGTGGCGCCTGTGGGCGGGAAGGCAGGTCACGTGCTCGCGCCGCCGCCGCCATGTTGTGGCGGGCGCCGCCAAGCCCAGGTGTGGGATTAGCGGGAGGGGAAGGCAGTATCGGCTGCTCCGCTGTGTTTAACAGCGAAGGCGAGACTTAAAAAGCACGGAAATGGCGCCTGAGAACAGCTGGGGTGTTATGGGTTTTGTTATTCTGTCACAGTGGTGCCTTCTCTACAACGCAGTTTCCTCCACTGTGCAGAAAAGTGGATGCTTCGCCCCAGATAACCAGATCGGTGCAGCTGTCTCTGAAACACACAGATCCGGCAGCTTTTGAGTAAAACCCAGCGGCGATGAGCGAGGCAGTGACAGGCAGCGGCAGCTGGGAGGAGATATTTGCAGTCCAGTGGTTTGGGCCTGTGTGTGATAGGAGTAATGCAAAAGAAGGGGAAAAACAAATGAAAAATGTCACTAACCTAGCAGTTTTTCCAAAAACTATCATCAGGGACTATAAAATTAACCTGAGGTGAATGCTCAGTACCTGACCCTTGACAACTGTGAAGGTGGAATAAAGAGTTACGGGTAACTAAATTGTTAAATATTAGTCCTAGGCATGAAACGTGGCATAAGGAGTATTTCTTGGTAGTTTTTCAGAGTGAAATCCCTCTTCCCACAGCTGGGACCAGCAGCAAGGCCTTGCTGTGGGGCTTCCACCATGAGGCACCACCAGAAATGGTGGCAACCGGGGGTTGAAGCAGGTCTTACATGAGCACCACGTTGATAGATGAACCAGAGTGTTCAGGGCACATTTCTGGGCAACAGTGGGTCCAAAAAAACCAGCATCGTCATTAGCTGCTCTCTTGGTTTTGCTCTTCCCTTTGAGCAGCTTAAATTCACTCTTAAGGAGCCAATTCGCTTACTTCTTGCCCAAATTGAGTTTCCTACGAAGAGAAGCAGATTATTAACAGAATTACATCTCCAGCTTTTTCCTTCGTTGGGCTTTTCTAATTACAGTTTTAGGTAGAAAAGAACCAAGGGAACACATTCTGGAGAAAATAAGAAAATGTTTGAAGGAGTTAGAGTAACAAGAAAATGCATGGATCTACTAGGCTGGGCTTTTAAAATGCTTTGAGCGGCCATTGCTGTCCATTTAATTATGCAACCATTACTATTCATGCAAATAGCCCTTGTGCCAGAAAGCAACTCGAATGAAGTGGTTATTTAAGCATTTTTAGGATAGCTCAAAACACTGACAGAGGCAAAAAGAGATGAGGAAACTGGCGTTTCTAAAGCAGGTCTGGGTTTGGTGGGCCCAGACGATACAGAAATGCTCATCTGATGGGAAGGAAGTTCTGCTGTTTATCCATGAATACAGACTGGATTACAACAACTGGTGGGGTGAGGAACACATACAGGAAAACACCCGTTCATCACACATAAAGGTTATAAAATCAACATTCCTGCTCATATCCAGCCCTGTGATCTGGACAGGCAGCCCTCAGCACCTCTGTAGCTCATTCTTCTTACAGCAACTCCATTGGATTATTTTACCCCAAATTTCTGAATTATTAAAGCTGAATTAAGTCACTGCAGTGGTCCAATGTAAACTCGTCCTTGTTTCTGTACACAAATGCTATATATTTTTTCTCATGTTACAATCCTGTGCCCTGGAAGGATGACTTCAGACCAAGGTGGGAAGTTTCTTTTGAGATCGGGAGCTTTAAGACAGAAGAAATCCATGTCTCCCTGTTTTACAGACTTCATACCCTAATATCGTAACAGTGAACACAGAAACCTGTCATTACCAAAATAAGCAGTGAAATAGCCAGAGTTCACATTTTAGTTCATTACCCATGCCGGAGAGCAGAGTGAGCAGGCAGATACTTCCAGTTACCCCACAAATTCACCAAAGAAAAAGGATGGATTTGAAAGCTTTCCGCCTCACTCCCTGCCAGGCCTTTTAAAACTCATTTTCCAAGCTTGGGAAGCGAAGCAGTACTGGTGTCCGAGCACCAGCTCAGCAGCACATGAACCCACAGTCGTTTGACTACAGCTCATGCAGAACTGGTAGCAGGGGGATTTTCCCCCTGGAAGCAAGAATTCCCAGCTGTCATTAGCAATTCCACAACTCCAGCAGCAAGTGAAGTGTGTGTTGCAGGAGACCCTCTTCGTGCTGTGGCTGCAAAATCACTTTGCAGATGGTTGCAAAAATGCCAGAGAAGACAGAACATGCCAAGACAAATCATCACAAGCAGGAAAATCAGCCCTCCAAGGTTCTGCATTGTCAGCTGCAGCTGCTCAAGGGGAAAACCACTCTCAGTTGGACTGTCCTAACAAAAACCAACACCAAATTCTGAGGCAGTATCACCCTGGAAAGTGAAGTGCAGCAGCCATTAATCATTTTAAAGGGTAAAACCAAATCCCTCCTGGAGGTGCATGGACCATAATGATTAAAAAGCAACCTTATTTCTTCAAAACACATTATACTTTTGTACATCAAGTTATTTCAGTTTTTTTTTATTATGACAATTTACATGTCATATGAAAGAAATGACAGTAGATATTATAACAAAAACATTATGAAAGAAAAGTTACACAATTAGGCCTACAAGCTATAAAATGGCTTCAGGCCCAGCTTATACACAAAGAGATCTGACCAGACTGTAGTGAGAGACAACGCTGAACAATTCATTAACAAAAATATTGGCACCAGCCTTAACATTTTTTTTTTTTACTTCATTTACAAGGAATACAGTATTTAAACAATAGTGTACTGCAAATCTAAGAACATTAGCTGTTATTAAACTGCAGTTAACCCTTTGAGCACTGAGGCCACCATGACTTCCGTTTAAAAAACAAATTAATTCATCTTGTTTTACATGCATGTGATATTATTCATGGGGGAAAAAAGAGCCAGTGAAAGCACCACCTAATTTATGTGCAACAAGAATAACACTTCCAGTTTAATAACTTTTCCCCTTCCCACACACACAGTGTGTGTCCCTCAGTCCTTTCCCTTCGATGCTGTAGCAAGTCATGATTGAGAAGAGATTTAAAACCCAAGGGTCTGGACTCAAGAAATGCAAGGGTAAAACTCTACAAAGAGCCAAGCTTTGGGAATTTGCGTTGAACTCTCAAGGAGAACAAAAATGAGGCTGACAAGACCGTTTTTAAGGAACTCTGCGTTTCTTTGCACCTGTAGGAACAGCACACAGGATAAAACGGCATTTCAGGGAAGTAGATGGTAAATTTTAAAAGACCTTTCTGGTGGTTTTGATCTACTTCTCCCAGCAATTTGGAGGGTAATTATTCTGTTAACTGGGACAGAGAAAATACCCAACGTTCATGTCTGATAAACAGTGTTTGTGCCTATTTGAGAATCACCACACACACCAAGAACCTCATATCAAACGTTCCAGTCACTCGAAGACCATCCCATGCTGCTGCAGATGTGTTCATAAGGAGGCCTATGCAATGCAGGGGCAAATTGTGTTGGCATTTAAAACAAATCATTTTAACCAAGGTTCAGGAGAGAAGTACCATTTATAATGAATATAATATAGGAATAAGATACTGTACAATAATTTAGAGTCCCTGTAAGGAGTATGAAGTGGAAAACTAAGCAAGGCAGACAGCTTTATGACCCAATTTTCTACCACTAACTTAGGCAGCAGGGTAGTCTTTAGAAAGGACCTTATATTGCTCTAAGAAATGGTGCACTGGTAGCTAGGCCTATCATAGGTTTCTACAAGAATTTTATCCCCTTCAAGTCATTCAAGTTCAGACAGACGCATCAGCCCCTCAAGGACCCTGTGGCTACCACGATGAGAAAAGGAGGGAATCAGGATTATTTAATACCTTCCATCTGAAGAACAGTCCTTAAAGGACAAGTCCGAAGCAGGTTTAGGCTTCCCAGCTTGCGAGTTTCATGAGGTCACATCCCCGTTTTTCCCATTCCACTTCCACCCGCTCCCCGTCTCCTGCTCCTCGGAAGCGGATCCGGAGGGCAGGAGCGAGCGACTCCGTGTGCCCCGGGGAGCCAGCGAGAGCGACTGTACACAAAGTGCTGCAAAGTGCACGAAGGACCCGACCCCAAGGAGCGCGGCAGCTCCCGCCCCGCAGTCCTCGGGAACCTTTGGGGTTACGGGAGATTTATCTGCACGTGCCTTCTTTAAGCCCGTGTCCTCCCTACCTGCTGCATTTCCCCCTCTCCTGATCATCAGCTCAGGGCTGGGGCGCCAGCATTTACAAAAATGATAGTCAAAAACCCAAGGTGTAGGACTTAACTTCCTTTTAATTGCAGTTATAACTGGAGCCTTTACACCACATATTCCATTATAAAAAACTCATCTACTTTAGAGTGTTCTGTTCTTTCTTCCGGAAGCTGTACATAGTTTTTTTTTAAGCGTCACACTATGCAATATACATCTTTTGCAATATACAAAATAAGTTAAATTACTCTGAAGCTTTTGGACAATTAATTCCCAAGTACACTCGTTTTTGCTGCTCGGAATTATCTCAGCTAGTTTAACCTAATCTAAAATATAAGGGCTTGGTAAGTGATGCACAGGTTTAGAAGTGACTAGTGATCTTCAATACCTCAACTGCTGCATTTCTGACCTCAGGTATCATTTTCAGTTGGTAAATATTTCTGAAGCCAGAGCTCTGCTTGGTCCTCACACTGGAGAACCCAACTCTAAGGCATCCAAAATTAGCTAATTAGTTTTTTTTCTTGCATGCACTAGGAAAAAAAATGTTATTTCTGTTCTTTTTTTTTTTGTTGTTTTTTCATCTTCCAACATTAGGAGATGTAGTTCATACCTCAACTCTTATGGAAGAGGTGGGGGAAAAAAAAAAAGATTGCTAGGAAAAGTGAGGCTTGATCTCAGAAATCAGTATTTCAAACAAGAGTCCCAAGTGTTGCCACGGAAGCTTTAAATGCCTCAGGAATGGCAGAACTGAGCTCTTCCCTGTGCATTGCTGGAGCTTCCTCCATCAGCAGGCAATCGTTTGCTTCAGAAAGTTATTGCTTGTTTGAAAATATTTTATTTTTTCCTTTTTTTTTAATTATTAATATATTTATTTAAGGATTTTATATACCCAGTGATCTGGAAGCCTTCTTCAAATGTAAATACCGTATCTAGGGTTCACACTACACATAACATCCATCGCACAAGCCTGGCAATAGAAGTCGCTGCACATGTCCCGAAACCAATTTTCAAGGCTTAAATCACCAGTTTGAAATAGGGGATACAAATACCTTGATGTGACCAGTGTGGGGAGCTAGCCTGACTGCCGTGATTTAGCTTGCTGTGTACAAAGCACATTTTAAAAAGCAGGGGCCACAGAAATGTTTCCCGTGTTTACCTTTCATACCAGAAGTTGGTGAAAATAGGTAGTTTGAAACAATCTGAAAATTTTAGACCAGCCCTTCCTATTGAAGAGATTCAAAACCAGGCCGTAAGTGCCTGAAAACAGAGGTAAACAATGGACACCCTGACAATGCCCTATTAAAATTATGAAACCATTACAGCATCTGGATAGCCATAGAGCTCAAGTGATAAATATTAAGCTAAATGGACACAACTGTACCACTACCATCCTTTTTCTTTTATGAACAGATTTGCCTTGAGGTTCTTTGAGTAACGTCTCACATTTCGGACATGGCAGGTAACAGAAGTGAACAGAAAACAAGTCAGACTGAGACACCAGCTCCCACTACACAAAGACCAATCCAGACCTATCTTGAGGGTGACAGACACAAATTAGAAGAAAGCATCGCTGTTTCCCTTAAGTGCTGCTAGAATAGAGCGTCTTTTCATTAACAACAAAAAACAGTAGGATGCGATAATGAAATTTAACAGGCAAAGGCTCAAACTATCAGGTGTTCAGAGCACATAGCCCAGCACTGAGCTTCTTACAAGGCTACAACACCACGGGGCTTATTTTGGGGAGCCTCGTGGTGGTGGTTTCTGCTTTAAAATCACAATTATGCTCAGGATTTGAAGACTCCATAGCTAGAAGACAACAACTGCAGTGAGATTTTAAGTTCTTAACTTCTCTGGCTTGGTTATCACTCAAACCTCATGCAACAGAGTTGATGTGAGTGATCTGCACGAGCTGTGTCACACACACCACGTCCATTCCCCCACTCAAGTTACAGCTTCTTTCTCTCTCCACTACTAAAACGGCACTTAAAGATCACATCTTCCCAACCAGTTACACTGAGGAGTGTTCAGTTAAAAAGAAGAAAAAAAAGAAAACATTTTTAGTGACAACCTGTATGGAATAAACAAGAATTTGTTTAATTAATGTTTTGTATATTCAGTCAATAGCTGCTTTTCTCCTACTGTTAAATCCATCACATTAAAAAAAAAAAATCCCTGGCCAGTTGTATTCTGTTTCTCATACGGTTTGAGCACTTCCTCGTTAGTCTGAAGCAACAGCTGAAGATGAGAATTGAAAGACATTTCATTCCAGATCTCACGAGGAACAGAGAAGAGCACCACACATGAAGGACACCCAAGCACTTGGAGGACATTTCCACCATGGAACTACACACACAGTGATACCAACAGCAGGAACCCCCTCAGGCACCGTCAGCTGGCCGCACGTCACAAAACATCCTCTTTTCCAGTAAGACATTGTACTTTTTTCACCCAGCAGGAAGTCTTCAAAATGGGAGAAGATACAAGTTTGAAAATGTTAAGAACTGTGGGAAATTTTTCACAGTTTTCACATGCATAAAATTTCCTGCCGCTCTAAGCTGGTACTTGGGACCCCAAGGGATGAAGCCATCCCAGGTATCAAACGTGACGTCTCAAACACAGAAGAGCAAATTAAAAAGTGACCTACAGAAAGTAAAACTTGTAACAATTTCCACATTTATGAAACCTGACCCTCCTCAATGCTCCAATTCTGCTTTCTGATCATTTCCAATTTTACATCACTCCTTAACTCAGCACTCAGTTCTTTTCCTGGTTGCTATATTCAGTATTTTCAGCTTTTATATTTTCCTACAAGTACAATTGCTTGCCCATTAAGTATTTATCATTTGGAGCTGACTACAAGCAAGAGCATTAGCTACAGCACTGATCAGATACTAGAAGGCTCCACCAGGCAGCAAAATAAAAGCTCATGGCACTGTCAAAATGAATGAGAAATCGTTGGTTGCCCCATGTTGCTGCATGTGAATTTGACAGTTTGCACTCCAAGTTATTAAAAATGCTCAGCAATTATTAACACTGAAAAGTGGAAGCCGTTATGTTCTCACTTGTTTTAAAACACAAGTATATTAGAAATGTAGAAGCACTGCCTTTATGCATCACCCGGGCAAAAAGTAGCTTAAAAGGCTACTTAATGCTTTTCAAAACACATTCAACACTTCAAGCCTTTTCACCAGCCTGTCTTAGCATCTGGCTGTGAAAACTGTTAACAGTTAACATAGCTCAGGTGGAAAAGTATTTAAAGGCATCAAATTCTCATTTAGAGAGTAATTTCTCTTTTCAAAATTATTTTTAATCACCAGTGTGGCTAGCATAGCAAATATTGAATGCGTTTTCTATCTCTTTGCAGCTCTGATGATTCTAGTTTCATAGCAGGATACGTGGACTGCAGGAATCCAGGGAAGCGGGAGTTACCGAGTGGTTCCGCGAGAACTCAGAGAGAGGAGGGGAACAAAATCAGGACAGTCAAGGCCAGAAGGTCGGTATTTTTGGATCTAGACTTTCTACAGAGGTATTTAGTAAAGGCCTAATGCCAGTTTTATTATAAGAGAACAGAAGTGCTTAATGACTAACTAGTAAATACAATATAATGGTAGGGAACCAGGTGGGGCAGGAAAGGAGAACTCACTCCTTGGTGGCAGCAGCAGTTTTGGTGCATCCATTGCCGGCAACGGACATAAACACCAGGCAAAAAAAAATATCCAGATCTCAGAGCAGAAGGATTAATAGACGTGACCTTTTTGGATTTCAGCGTTTGGCAGGTTTGCTTTAGCTGTGTGCTACAACGTGTACAATTGCTATAGCCTGGATCTTAATTCAGAACGAAGAGAAAACTGAATGGTACCCAAAACAAATTTCAGCTTTGCTCTTTCCTGTGTGCTCCACGTGTTATTTTTTTCTTGTAGTTTCCTTCTTTCTTTTAAATGAAACAAAAGCACAAAACACTTCATGCCCACTGAAAAGGTGATGTCTTGGAGTCCTGCGTTTTCTCTCAGAAATACTCTGCCTTCTCGAAATCTGTCGGTCACATGACAATTATTAAAATGCATTTTAAGAAAGTTCCAATGGCCAAAGGCCGACACTACATTCAAAACCTGCTGATACATCCAGGCAGATAGGTAAAATCAAAATGAAAACACACACAAACCCCAAACAGAAAAACCTCCAAAAGGAAAACTGTTCCATTGGTTTACTTCAATTTGAAGTAGATATTTAAGGACATGAATGGACCAGTCGCGGTTTGTCGGAAAAATCCCTCCGTCGTGGGGCGCGCTGGAATTCTGCGGTCGATGCGGTGGTGCGTACGGACACGCTCCGCTCCAAGCACCCACGGGTGGTTCAGCACAGGCGGCCAGGCAGCAGCTTCGGGGGTCTCTAAGGGCAGCACGTCCCGATGCCATCCGATCTACAGACCAACTTCGTCTCCACACGGCCTCCCCCTAGACACGGGCACCAGAGACCATCTCATGAGCTACGCGTGAGACAGCTTTAGCAATTCACTGCCGGGAAGTTCATTACAGTACACTTTACTGTACAAACACTTTAAAGGATGTTTATTAGGAAAGTCTGCAAGTCATAATGGAGAGTAGAGTTCTTGTTTATGGTACCTTCTTGGCCTCTTTATTAGCTGTGTTTACCTCCAGTACTAAAAATCAAACTGCTTCCAGGAAGGTGATTACTAAAATGGGCTATGGTATGTTAACCTACAACTCACAAGATGCGACAGTACAGACATTAATTTTTTTTAACTGTCTGTTAAGTTGTAATCTAAGTTGTGAACATTTAAATATAATATATATCTCATATGAAAAAGCTAAAGCACAAGTGCTTCTGTACCACCCCCCCCCCAACACACCCCATGAGCCAAACCCACCCCAATTCCGGTTTGGGCCCTGACCAATTTGGAATGCTTTCTTAGGCCACCCATTTCCACAAATTTGTATGCACTCAGGAAATATAAAGTCAAAAATATACAAATCTCTTGTTGTTATAAGGGTCTTTTTTTGTGTGTGTGAGTGAAATTACCCAGGACCATGGACTTGGAAGGAAAAGGGGTGTAAAAGAGGGAATTTACAGCAATTCATCTTCAAAGTTCAAAACTGGTCACTTCACAGAAAGACTGCAGGACTGGTGAAATTCTTGCTTCTAAAAAGTGATACTGTAGTGGAGAATTTTCTAGGAAAAATAAAACAGCTTTTAATAACTGGCCCGCTGGTATGAGCTACCGTGGAATAAATTAGCACAAAAATGGAAGTCTTATAACTGTTCACTGTTACAGACGTAATCGACAAGGTCAGTCACTCTCAAGAGTTCATCCTCGTCTTCCTCGGGCCCCACCGCTTCCTGCCCGCCGCCCGTGCCGTTGGGCGCCAGGCTGGCAGGGGCCGTGCTGTCCTTGGGCGCTTGGGGCTTCTCGCCGGCCTTGCCCATCAAGTTCTCAATGGTTTTGCCCGGGCTCTGTCCGTTGGTGGAGGGCAAGTCCACCAGGCTGTAGTCCAAGGGGCTCTCCACTTTGCCCACGTTGTCGAAGTCGTCCTCGTCGTCGCTCTCTATCCGGTAGCAGGGCTTCTTGGCGGCGTCCGCGGCGGGCGGCACCTTGGCGGCCGCAGCGGCGGTTTCCGCCCCGTCGTTGTTGGCGCTCTCGCAGTTGTCCTCGTCGTCCGTCTCGATTCGGTTCAGCCGCTTGCGGACGGGCCGCCCTTCGTCTTCTTCATCCTCTCCCTCCTCTCCTTCGGAGTACTCATCCGTGCTCCGCCTGCGCTTCCGGAGCGGCCGCTTGGACTCCTGCGCGGATTCGTCGTCTTCGGAGTTCTTGGATGTGTAGCTCTCTGCAATAAGCAGCAGACTTAAAGCCATTAGCAAATGTGGGAGCAAGCAGAACATCTACACTCGCTCTTTCTAAAAGCCATTTCTCCCTCGCAAGACACTTCAGTCTCCTTCCTCATCTCCCCAACCTTACGCAGATACGTATTTTAAAACACTGCCTGCACTTTTCACAGAAATGGAAGATGCAAAGACCAAGAATTTGACATTCTGTTTCCAACCTAAGGAGCACCAGAGGCTTCCAAGGCAGGTGGATATCCCCACATGATGATGGCTACATGGCAGCAATAGCCCAGAGCAGCATCACTCATCTCAGAGTACATTCTTCACTCCATGGCTGAGGAACCACAGACACAGGAATCAAATGGCCAACACCATTTGCACTGGTGTCATGTATGTAAAAGATAATAACGTATGCTCAAGTTGCTAGGGATGTTGCCAGAATTTTAGTATTTGCACCATACTTACATTTCCAGTAACACTGTTAGGCACTTAATATGACCTCAGAGCTGTGGGAAACTGCTGGAATGGTACTTAATGGGCACCAAAAATGCCCAAGCAAATGGGATAGATTTCACCCGAAAGAGACATCATTGGCCAGAGGCTGCTCAAAGGCAGAAATGCAGGCATCAAAGATCCTGGTAACTATGGATTTCATACCCAAATACAGCAATCACAGTGTCCATGACTGATATTACTCAGTGCAGACTTAATCGGTGAGGGATGTAACTACATACCCATACTCAGCACAGCACCTTACCCCAGGGGTGGAATGAGTCTTAACAAGTACAGAGCAACACAGGGTGGCAAAACTACCAGCACAAATGCAGCTAAATGCCAGAATCAATACCCTTTTCTCTTGCAGAAGAGAATCTTTGAAAGCTCTGCAGGACAAGGCCCTGTGACATCTTAAGAGCAAAGCAGCAACATAATTCCCTTTATTACAATTTTGGAATCTCAGACATAATTTTCCTCCCAGACATAGTCAATTCAGGCTGCAAAGTCAGAACTAGGGACAACAAAGTCTTTGAGAAGCAACTGCAACACTGTCTCACTGGGTATGAGACAGTGGATTGTTTCAGAAGGGAAGTTTTGGAGAGAAACATTAAGGAACTCAAGAAAGAGGTTTCTCTCTGTGGATTCCTGAACTATCCATTATTTCTCTCTTTAGGATAACGCTCTCATTTGGCAGCTCCTGCACATGGTGCAGGGCTCGTTTTACCTTCGCTGTCCGAAGTGGAAAGCCTGCGTTTGTGCACTCGTCGCAGCTCCTTGCCGTATCGGACGCTCTTCTGAGAGCCGTCGCTCTCTGAATCCTCCTTGTAATTAACTTGTCTCTTCTGATTCCGCCTTGATCTTCTCCTCCTGGTTTCCAGGTAATCATCATCACTGTAATCTGTGTAATCAGCACTTTCTGTATGGAAAAAAACAAAGGGGGAAAAAAATAGGGGCCACATCTGTGCATTATTCTGTTCAAATGAAACTGCACGATTTATGGAAGCTTTAGGTCAGCTCCAATAAAATCAAGTGCTTTGCAAACACACAAGAGCGTCAGCAATTGCATCCCTTTACCTTGACCTGTGCATTGGCTTCCCCATGTACTGCCAGCTTAGAACTGCTTTTTGCAGAAGTCTTTTCACAAACCTCTCTCTCTTTGCCCTCTTTTTTGTTTTCTCCCATCCTGGTGCCAAAGATGCTTCCTTTGATTCCTGCCAGCTGCAGCAACCCAAGCAAATCCGAGCTGATGACTGACACAGGTTACCACCTTCCCTGGCAAGGGCTTTCTGCCCATTATTTCAATATAAATAAATTCTCTGTCTACTCAACAGAGTCGCTGTCTACTCAAACAGTTTTGACAACAGGTACATAAAAAAATACTGACAAAACAAAACTGAACTCCAGGTAAGATCTGATTTTGAAACTTTGCATCATTAGCAACAGAGTTGGCTGCAATGGTTCCTACATTTGCTCAAAGCAGAAGCCCTATGGAAGGAACCTAACATCATTCCCTGTTCTCCCTGCATCAGCCAAGGGCATCTCGTGCCCTTAAGAATTAATCTTATTTACATTTTCAACAGCTGAAAAGAGCGACGCATCAACTGCAGCTGTTTCCTGCTCTTGCTGTGTTTCCCAGCAGGATGTCTCTGATGGTTTGGAGCAGGATTCTGGTTTGGTCACAGATACACATCCACCAGAAAACAGACGAAGCTGCTTTTATGCATGGCAGAGTAGATGAGCAATCCCTTTAGACCTCTAGTTCTTAATCTTCATTAATCACAGCTTACAGCTAGTGTTGCAATGCATTCAGGACAGTATGCATCTGCATCTGTCCATGTATTAATGCTCCTTTTGGAAACTTCAAAGTAACTTACCCCAACGTGTTTTCCATCTATCTTTCAGAAAGGCCTGCGAGGTAACACACCCTGAGCAGCAAGTCAACACTCTAATGTACCCAGTATCATAAATTCACAATAAGTGCTTAAGATTTTTGGCAATTATAGGACTGGATCTCAAAGTGGGGGAAGACAGAGAAAAACCTTCATAAAAAGATGCTAATCACTGAGAGCTACAAAAGGAAAAACAATCCCTCCTTTTTGGTTCAAGCTGGTTCTACTGCTCTCATCTACGGACAGGCATTATTTCCGTATTTTAAATTGTACAAAAAGAAGATAAACAGGCTGAAGGACAAGCAGAAGGAAGTGAATTCTTAGGGGCTCCTGTGATGCAAGAGTGTTTAGTGATTAAAGACCGAAAAAAAATAAATTGCAGAAGAGAGAGATTGTGTCAGTTATACAGTTTGCCTTCAAGCCTACCAGACAACACAGGATTGTTCATTCAACAGCTCACTGCAGCTGAAGGAATTTTTCTTCCACACAAAGTGAGGGGAAAAATAATATATATATATAAAAATATTATATATATATATGTATATATATAATGCATATATAAAAATTATAATATTTTACATATTTTTTTTCAGAAGATTTTTAAAGGTATTCAGAAGGTCTTCAAAGAGATATAAGAAGTAAATTTTAGCTCCATCCCTACCCTTCCTTGCAATCACATTCAAAACAGGAAGGTATGGGACACCTGAAACTGTCCCAGAGGTGCCCTGTTGAATCATAACATTGAACATACATTTAAGTACTTGTTTATTTAAAATGCCAAGAACCTGGTGCTCAGTACCAGCTTCCTTCATAATATTTCCAGCAGAACACTCTGAGAAGAGAGAATTCTGAACACCACAGTATCCCATAATGAAAACAAGTACCAAACAAAGTGCATTTTGCCCTTATTAACTCCAATGACAAGCACCTATTAATTTGTTGTACAGCCAGGAAGCAGAGATGACATAGAACTCAACCAAAGCTACTGTGAAAGCAGCTCCACACTGCTAAAACAACAAGAAATAGAGACTTCCCTTCTCCCTCTGTCTAGCGTAGAGTCTTTAACAAGTTTAAATTATTTAGTGCACTCACCAGACTCTCTGCTTGAGTTCTCCTCGGAATCCTCCTCTTCATCATCTTCGGAGTATCTTTTTTTGACTGTTTTCCTTCGTAACCGCCTGCTTTGCCTCATGGGCCTGGAGAGGTGGCGCCGGGAGACGCGGGCGCAGAACTCCGAGTCGCTGTCCTCGTTTGACGGCGGGTCCTCCTCGCTCTCATCCAGGTTCTCCTCGGATATCACAAACTCGTCCTGCGACCTGCTCAGAGGGAAAGCAGGTTTGCAGCACGAGGAGAAGACATGTGAGTAACATCTGCAGGGCAGGTGTTGGCTTTCACAGCAACACACGGGAAATCAAAGGATTGAATGATCCTTTGAGGAAGGAAGAGTGACCTAGCTGCCAGCTGAAGGTAAATTCATCCAACAGGCATTTAGCAGAGAGGCGAGTTGGAAATGCACGGCTACACTTTAAGCGCTATTAATTCTGTGAGATTTCTGCAATTCTACATGAATTGATAGGAAATCTCCAGCACATTTGGCTCAACTCTTCCACTGAAAAGTCCTCAACACAGTCACAAGTGAAAAATCACCCACTTTATAGGGCTACATAGCTTTAAAAATTGATAGAAAAGAAACCAGCGCTCATGCTCATTTTTTCTTCTTTTCTTTTTTTTTCTTTTTTTTACATTAGGAATTCCCCAGCCTGATAATGGAAAATCCCAGGGAAAGGGTTTTCCCTAGTCAGTGCTGTGTTCACTCAGTATTTAAAGCTTCACTTGTCTCATATTTGTTTTCCACAGCATAAACCGCCTCTTTGGGTGCTTCCTAAGACTTAGGAAGCAAAGGTCAAGAATCGATTTTCCAACCTAACTTGTGAAGTTTCCTATGTTCTAAAAGCAGAAATTTTACTTTCTGTTTTTATATTGAATTCAGACCTAACAAAAATCCCACAGAACTGCTGTAGTTTCGATATGAAACAGCTTTTTGTAGCTGCATCTATTTTTAAAAGGATTTCTGCTAGAATGTTACATCGGTCAAGAGGTTTGAGCACCTTTGGCTCTAACAAAACTGTGCATAGAATACCACACCAGTAAGATTTCCTGAACAAGTTTTGCCTAGAAGAGAGGTTGGAAGATTTCAGTACATGGATTCGGAGAGCAGATTATCCCACATAACATGGGCACAAATTCTTGTGACAGTTTTAGGGATGCTGCAGAATCACATAAACCTGCAGCTGTCAGTGGCTCATGGTAGAAGCTCAACTGCAGACCTACCCATCACTTATCTTGAATTCATCTTCACTCTCCTCTTCATCCAGATTACTGTCGCTATCCAGATCGTTCAGTCGCCGTCGTTTCTTGCGACGTGCTGCAGCAGCCCTTTGTGGTCGCTTATTTTCCTTCCTTTCCTCCTCCAGGATTGTGGAAATGTCTTTGCCACGGTGACCTGTGATGTTAGACATATCTTTGCCTCTGCCAATGCCTGCATTCAGAGACAAAAAGGAGAAAAAAGATAAAAAGTTAATTTTTTAATTCAACTTTATATGTGTTTTTGAGGGGTACCAGCATCAGAAAATTCATCTTCGCTTCATAATACTTCATAATTAATTCATAAATAATACATCTTCCTAGTAGCCTTCTTAAAACATGAAGAGTTTTAAGTTGCTGTTTGACCAGCGAGCAGAATTTCTGAAGAGCTGATCTTATGATTTAAAACATGGTGACAGCCACAACAGGTGATTTTTGAGCTGCCTATTTAGATCCAGTGAGTTACAAGTCATATAATTGAAAGATTACCAATTTTATGGGTATTTTCTCCAGGCTGATTAAGATGTGGAAGAAAAAAATGCAATTTAACATTTCTCAGACATTCCTGAAGAATATCTTTTTTCCTCCTCTATGGCACACGAGCAGACAACAAGGAATAAAATTCCACTTTATTCACAGCACAACTTAGAAGTGGTCACATATCTGAATTAGCTTTTTCAAGGTTTTATGGACCAATTTTTCACTGGGCCAATTGAAGACCAACTTATGAACCCAATTTCTAGAGGCAACAAAAGTCAGTATCAGAATTGCTAATGAATCTCTATTCAAAATTTAGTGAATGAATTTTAACATTTTTCCTGTAGTGCTTATTCACATACTCATATCTAAACATACTCAAGCTAAATTTACCCGTCAAGATCAAATACCTTAACCTGGAATGCCTGTTACCAAGAGAATTTATTTAATCTACACTATGAGAAAGTCATCTGTGTAGTTTAGAAGACAGTATTATATTTGTTGTCTCTAGCATCAAAATAAATCTGGTCAGTTTTTTTTTTTTTTTTTTTTTTTTTATCAGCACTGCAATGAAAAATAGGTAATATTAGGTACATACCTCCTCCATCAGCCTCCTTTATATCATCCTCGATTGCCTCATCAATTGCCTCATCGAATTCATCAAACCTAAAAGCAACATGTCATTTACTACTTTGAAGAGAACACTAAATTACATTATAAAAATATATCTCACATGCTAAAATTACTCCAAGAAATCAGACTGTATGCATAACATGCTAAATATGAGATAAAATAATAATTTTTGAATAGGTGTTTTTATTAGTTCAGCTTGCTAGCAGAATATTTATCGCTGCCTGGCTTTTGTAACGTTGATTTATATGAACAGGAAACCACTTAATTTTACAGAAAATACTACTGAATTCAACACTATAGAATTTGAAAGAACTTCTGTAGTTTGTTTCTTTCATGATGAATTCAAAGGGTTATTACATATGTTAACAAACAGGTACCTTGAGATACAAAAAGGGCAAATGTTATTAAGTGCATAGGGAAGGCATGTTGCTTCAATGCTTTTTCCTCCTATAATTTGCTATTTTTTAAGTAAAAAAGAACAGCATTTGGCCAATGCTTTCAGTGAAGATTCAGATCTTCATTCAACTAAAGAAAAAAAGATTTCAGTTATGTTTATTTTGGTCCTCCACTATAGCCTCTACCACAGCAAGGAAAAAAATGATTTAAATACTAGTTGGTATTCCAATAGTAACCACAAAACACTTTCTTCTTTAAAATATAAGGTGATTTCTGAGCTCTCTATATATCCTTAGAATAAATGCATGTCAGCTTTACAGTAAGGCAAATAACTGCAACTATTTGCTCCAAATTACTCAAACCCTATTTACCATCTGCACCATTAAGGCGCTTTGTGGGAGCTGGGAAGAAGTACTTTATGCTTCCAAACCACTGCTAACAAGTATTCCGGAATCAAACATGATCCAAAGGTAATCCAAAGGGCTGACACACCTGCAGGGAACCAGCACGCTGCAAACATGAGTTTATCTGCAGGTGGAATAAGACTTTTAGCATTTCTTTTCCCTCCACTGAAGGAAAACGAGCAAAGACTCCATGACACTAGGACTTCACTGTGGACACAGGAATTTGGAGTGACACCAACAGTGCACGTGCCTAATAACTCAAAGGTGGGTGTATGATGCAGTCTTTAAGAAAGATTCTGACATTTTGCATCAGAAGATATCCAGACTTTCAAGAACAGCATTACATTAAACATTATTTCCCCCAAATAATTACTGTCTTTGCACAATGCACATTCCACTGAAGCAATGCCAAATATTCTACAGGTAAAAATGTTTTCTCATGGTCAGATGCTCCAAGGCCCATCACGAATAAAGTAAAAACTCTATGACTGGGACATAATGTTCCTTAAAAAAATGCTTAATATCCAAACCCAGCAATTACATTTTCTTTACTATGATTTCTGCTTTACTAAAAACCAGCAATTAAGCAAGGTCAGATTGTGTTTTCTGAAGAGCTATTTAAACAAGCTGCCTACCTATAACTTATGCACTTCCGGGTCCTAGTAGACCTCCTTTCGAGCAGCTTTGATTTTGGCTTTTTGGAATCTTTCTTCTTTTCTTCCTGACCTTCTGGTATTTCTGGCTCCTGCTCATATAAAAAAGAAGGGTCAGAGAGCCTGATCTCCTCTCCCTCCAGATTTATTAGGAGTGAGTTGACACTAACCCATCTGCACATGAACTACACAGCTTGTATGTCCAACACAGCACATCTCAAGTTCACATATAATGACTCATTACTGTGTTTGTACAAACACTTGCTCATACTGCCTTAATGGCAACATAACTCCACAGATAAATAGCTCAAGGATTTGGGTTATTAAAACATTGCATTTATAGTCAAACGTTGTGATTTTAATTCAGCTGATACTTTCACAACCTGCAAAGGTAACAACTGAACAAATTGTTGCTGACTTAGGTCTCTACACACCAAACCCCAGGACTGGGCATCTCTGCTCCTACCATGTCCTACACAGCTCCTGCTGACCCCAGAGGGCCAGCTAAGGTCTTACGTAGTCCTAAAACCTTCACATCATAGAGCTTCAATGACATTCCAGGCAGGTTATTTTCATGACAGTTTTCCAAGTTACTGATTTTCAAAAATCTGTCCCCAGGCTGAAATTTTCAAACATCTGCTTTCAGTCAGAGACACTTCCTCAAATTTATTAAGTCTTTACCATTTTGGTCACCAGAGCAAGAGGCAGAAAGGTTGCTCTACTACTACAGTGAGAGTGGAAAGTCTAACTTTCAAACAAAGACAGCAAGTTTTATTTCAAACCCTCCTGCAAGAATAGACTTGGAATTTCTTCTTTTTGGATTAAGGCATCTGGCTAAGGCTATGAAAACCACTTTAAAAGGTATAAAGGTAGTGAGAAAAAAGCTCTGCTCAAAACCAAGTGTAAGTTATGGAGGGAAGACAGTTCTGAGATCCCTCAAACGATGGAGGATTCTGCACCGCCTACAAGATAAAACCCCTCAGTTAACACAGTAAGTTCATGCTCAGTCTAAAACAGATATTAACGACCTACTTGATAATGTAATATACAAACACTAAAACTAAAAGGTTTAAGAAATAAAGAATAAAGCAATATAGACATGCTAACTTACCTGAGGTGGGATGATGTTCTCTATACTGATACCCACATAAACCAGGCGTTCTTTTCTTTAGGAGAGAAAAGAAATAAAATAAGCTTAGAGAAAGGCTGCAGGGATATAAAGTAAAGCTGTAATTCTTTCTCTGAGGCTTCTACTACATGCTACAAACACAAAGTTATTTTAGTTGGATTTGTATGTTCCACATCATTGAGTTGCACTTTCCTACACACATGATGTGTTTTTGCCAAGGGTTCTGACAAACAATAAATCACATTTGAAGATGGGGGCCCCATGGAAAAGATTCAACTTGAATGTAAAAAGGCAAATAAAATATTCATCTTGTGACAGAGATTTTGTATCAAGTCCATAAGCACCACTAATCTAGTGATGCTGAAAGAGAGAAGAGGAATTCAAAATAGTCTTGAACTGAAAAAAACCATCAGAAAAACAGGATGCAATTCAGAAAGGCAAAGGTCGTGATTCTAGACTTAGGCAGAAACAATAAACTCAAGAAACACCATGTAGGCAATAACTGGTGACACATTTTTGGGGGAAAAAGAGAACAGTCTGAACAAAGACTGACAAAGTCGAAGTGTTGCAGAGACAACTGCATCATTACAGAGGGATGTGCGAGCAGGAGAGCAGCCTATGGGACCACCAAAGGAAGCCTGTCCCGGTTGGCAGCCCTCTTCATACCCAGCTGGAGTACCAAGTTTGCACCTCAAGACAGACAGGAACCAGCTCAACAGTTCAGAGATGCTGATAAGACCTGACTAATCATAAACTATTCCCAGAAGATCCCAGAAAACATTTTCTTTCACATAAGTAGCCATAATAGTTGCTACAGGGAAGCAATGAAAGGGTGAATGAGAGGAAGGAGTCTGCTTGATTTGGCCTGGGAAAAGAGAAGAAATAGTCCCAAGAGGGAGTTTCTATCAAGAAATCTGAGTATCTCTAACATGAATTAAAAGGGGCGTCCACAAAGGCTTCAGCATCCGTTCCTTTCAGCTGGTGACAGGATTACAGAGGCTACCCATGCAAGTGAGAAAGCTGGAATTCTGCAAGGTGTTGTAACATCTTCAATGAATAGGGGAAGCAAAAAAAAAAAAGGTAAGATTTTGCAATACTCCAATCTATATTTTTGTCATTACAACTACCACAAGATTGGAAGTTTTCATTAAAGAGCATTTATGACCTGACACTTTGGGATGCATAAGAAGAGCTGAGCTGCTGTCTCAACTTCAGTCTGAACCTTGAAAGCTGCCAGTTAAATGCTAAAGAATTATCAAAAGCAGGAGCTCAACAGTATCACTGGTTCAAAAGCACAACAGCAGTACTGCTTCAAGACCCAGTTAAGTGAGTTCTTGGTAAGAAACTTGGCTATTTTTTTCCTCTTTGCCAAAAAAAGAAGGCAGGCCCAGAGCTATGGTGATTCTACAGAAACACTACATTGAAATAAGTTACTTAGAGCAGGAAAATATATTAATTTACACATGAAGCTGTGATAAAGAGGATTTCTAACATAATTCTTGCTTCCTTCAGTCTTTTTACCTTGTAATTTACTAAAATAAACCATCATTAAGTTGAAAGAGACATCAGCATTCAACTATCACATCATGATTTTTTTTACAGTCAAAGCTCTGCTCTCTTTTTAAAGACTTTAAAAAAAGGGTTTATACTGTAACAACACAAAACGTCAGGTTAATTTGGTATGAGGATCAGACTGCAAACATCTAAACATCTAAACATCTGTTGCTAAACCTCTGTTTCAAACCCTGAAAACAGCTATAATAGGAACTGTATGCTCTTCTGCAAAGACTAGCAAACCATATATTAATGCAATATTAGTACTTCAAACAAGCAGGACAGACTGCAGGGCAAAAGCATTTCTTGCAATGTTTGCCATAAGAATATTTATCACAGTGGGTCTAAAACCATGTTCACTAGTAATGAGACTTCCCAGCAGGACACAGGCACAGAAAGTGCCTCTGTGTCCCTTATGTCTGCACTGAGGCCGTGCACAATCTGAGCTCCCTCATAAAACACCTAATTCCTTCATTTCCAAAGCTACAAATATATTCTGTTGTGCTGTTGCTGGCACTACTGTGTGTGCCATAAACACAGTCCTGCTGTGTCCTCAACTGCTTTTTCTAAGCTGGTTTCACCTGCTACTGTGTTCTGATTTTTCCCTTTAAGATACAAACCCCAGAAGTGTAGAAATGCACATAAATGTTATTAAATTTTGCAAAAATTTAATTTGCAAAAAACTTCAATACACATCCTAAAAGCCACAAATTATGCAGACTGTTTTCAGGTCTGAAAACCGCAAAAAAAAGGAGCTCCATCTGATAGAGAAATTGCTTGTAAACACCCCAGACCGGTTTATGTTGAGCCTTTGCTAATGGCAGGAGTGGGCACCAAATGTCTTTACGAGCTGCAGTGCAGCTGACCCACCAATGGCTGCAGCTGCTTCTTGTAAGGCAAAGTTTAACAGAACCTTAAGCAACAAGGTTTATAAAGCTGATTAATCAAGACAACCTTTGCAATAAAGTCAGGACTGGGGTACTGCAGGAAGCATGCAGCCAAACCAGTGCTGAAAACCATTTAAAACAAGTATATGAAAGGCAAAATTGTTCAGGCCCCATGATTAAAGCTTAATACAAACACATTTTCTTACCTTTTGCAATTACTGGACTCTTTCTCCTCTCTTCTAAACTCTACCATCATTGTGCCCCCAATAACCTCTCTGATATGTGGGAAATCAAACCCATTTTTATCGATTCTCAGTCCCAGCACACTTTCCTCCCCATCCCTCAGTTCTCGCAATGCCTGCTCAAGACCTGTCACCCCTCTGCACAGCAGCTTGCTGCAAACACAAGCAGGGAGCAGTACCTGCGTTCCGCACGCTCCTTCTTTTTCAAGACCACATCCAGATCTTGTAATTGTTCTTCTAATTTCTCACAAAGCAGTTTCTAAGGGAATAAACAAAATATTCATTTCTCTCATAGCCAACTATTTGCATTAAACCATCAGGCACATCATTCATTGTTTTTGTATTTATCACATTAAAGTCTGGAAGATGAAGCCCTTGTTAAACCAGAGGATCCTCTTTATACACTCTGATTTAAAACAAAGATCACCTTGCTAAAACATGTGTGCACCTCTGCATGAATTGCTATAGGAACAAATATTCCCAGTATCTAGCACCTACAGTGGAAGCAATGTGTACAGTAAACATCAAAGATGTTTAGAATAAACATATTTGTAACGTATTTGTAAATTAATACCAAATTTTCATTATAGTTACAAAGCACCCTGGCAGAAACCAGAGGATTTCACAGGCAGTGACACACACAGTGACATTTATGTCTGGTACTTTTCTTAACCTTTAAAAGACATGAAAAAGCATGTATGCACCAAAGCAGAAAGCAGAGATGCAGCATCTTCCTACCAAATATGTCAAATTTTATTAAACCAGTTAATACTCATAAGCCATATATTAAAAAAAACCTTTTTACTAACCCATCACTTGCCTTTTTACTGTTCGCTCCTCCCTCCTCAAACTCTTTTCAAGATTTTTTTCTCATACTCTACAAATTTAGCAATTTTTCCTATGATGAACAACAAGTAGCACCAAAGCGAAGCGATGCTTCCCCTGCAAGCTGCAAATACCAAATAATGCATGGAAAACACCCTGGAGCATTCAAGACTGTGACTATTTAAACAGGAGATAACTAAATCCTCCGAAGATAACTAAAAATGGATACACCATACAGTATGATCACAATGTGATTTCCCTTTAGAGAAAAATGAAGATATTGTATTTTTAATGTGGCATTTGCTTGAAGCAATTTAAGGAAAGATAGAAGCAAGCAAGTTGTGCCAGAGATTTTCACCTACACACCAGCAATACACACTCCATAAACAGTAGAAAGGAAGGAGTAAGGGCAACACTCCCTCATAAAACTCAGTTTTACTGAAAGCTAACAGGAAATATCAGCATCCCTACAATCCACCATGGAATACTATTTAACAGAAAAAAAGGGATAAAAAAATAACTTATCGACAGATCTCCACAACTGCAGGAAAAGCGGAAAAGGAGGAAACTGAAGTCAAAGAGGAGCCCTACGTGCTGGCACGGTGGGCAGAACCACTCTCCATCGGGGATGATCATCAAGGGAGGGCGAAGGCAGGCTGTGTGGTAGCCGCTGTCACACGAGTCGCACAACAAAATCTGCGGAAACAAAATGAAACAGGAGGATCTTTTGGCACGCCTTATGTGGAATGTGGAGTTCCAGAAGCAGCTTCCTCGCCAACACAGAGGCACTTGGTAAATACTCTGGATGGTGCCAAAACTAAGAAATCCTGTATCACTCATCTCTACATGGTCCTGGAGCCAGGAGGTGTTTTGCATGGGGAAGTTAAAAACTGGGATACATGAACTCCAGCTTTCCTCTTCTGGTGTGCTCTTATGCACATCAGAGTTCTGGACAACTCGGATTATGCTCATTCCGTGATCTAGATCCTGAACCAAATTACACTCGAACAAAATGGGGTACCGATGGTTTTGCCTGTGCACTCCCCATGAAGGATTTTCATGAATGAATTCCTGACATGAATTTCCTCACGTGACTCAATGGCAGGACTGTCAAGATAAACTTGTGGACTCCCAGGTGTATACAGAATTGGGTAACTATTCAATCCACCCATAGGCAAAACTCCAGATGCCCCTTTCCATTAAAACAAGTGACAAAGTTGACACAAGCTTTGTGAACAGTCACTGCAGTAACAAGTTCTCTAGTAAATGAGTTTAACCATGGGCTTCCTGTAATAAATATCCTGTAAAACCTAAACAGTATTCTCACAAAACTCCTCTCCAGACCCAAAAAGATGGTTGTACATTCAGATACACTTCTATTCCACCTTTTACTGCCAAAATCACAGAATGGTTGAGGTTGGAAGGGACCTCTGGAATCATCCAACTCTCCTGCTCAAGCAGGGACACCCAGAGCATGTAGCAGAGGGTGGAATCCAGGTGGGTTTGGAAGATCTCCAGAGAAGGAGACTCCACAACCTCCCTGGGCAGCCTGTTCCAGGGCTCTGTCACCCTCACAAGTTCTTCCTCACTTGGCAATGGAGGTCAATAGAGGCTTTCATGGTCAAAATGGTCAAGGGCATGCTGATTTTCATGGCAAAATGGTCCATAGAGGCTTTCCCCAGACACCTACCAGCTCGGGGTGGTTGGGAAGACCACACTTCTTGCACGGCTCATCATCATCAGCAGGTGCAGGTTCCTCCTCCTCCTCTTCTTCCTCCTCCTCTTCCTCCTCAGAGTTTTTTTCACTCTCGGACTCCTCACTTTCTTCGTTACTCGAGTATTTCCACCTGCCACGGGTTCGAGTGCCCGTCCACCGAACTTTGCTTCTCTGCGAGACAGGCCATTTCAAAGACAAAACACAGAAAGACTCACGTTGCTTCTCCCCAAACTTTTAAAACCTCTACCTTTCTCTAGAGCCAAGGGAGTCATTTCCATCAGCATAGCTGCAAATTTACAGCAACGCAGTGCAGTGTTACTCTATTAATTGTGTGTTACATTAAGTTTGGGCTTCATAATACTTTATCATAGCTTCAAAAATGTTTCAAAGACACACTTTCCTAAAAGAAAAGAAATCTAAAATACCCAATTAAAGATTTGTGTGGATTTTTTTTCAACCTGCTGAAATGACATCTTCCATACACTTAAAAATACTGAGCCTTTATTCATCGTTTTCCCCTTCTGCTCTATGCCTAGAAAAATAATAATTAAGGATAAGTTAATAAAAGGGGATTATAATTGCAGAGAAAGCAAACCATAAATATGCACATTTAATTCCTTCACCTCATAAAATCAGTATTATTTTCACTCAGTATACTTTTGAGTATAAGCAGGAGCTTACTGTGGAGGAAAAAAAAAAAAAAAGACAACCCCATCGAAAGTAAAATGTATATCCCATGTATGTGAAAAGCTAATTACATTGCAAATCCGCCACAAAAATAATTTTCTATCTTTTCCAAGTAATTTTTTTTCATATTATCTTCCTCAGACTGATCAAGGACACCATCAAAGCACCCAGTAAATCCACAGAAGCTGGAAGTCTCCAGTCAACCATTCAGAATGACTGACTCATATCTGATCATTACACTTTCTTAAAGAATTTACTCAGGCTCATTTGGTCTAGTTGGTTTAAAACCAAGGTAAATGAAAGATCTTATAAACTCATAGATCAACAGACATTCACACTCTCTTAGAGGAAGGTTTTCGACTAATCCACAAACCAGACTGCAAAAGATACCTTCTTTAATAAGCTGACCAAACAAACATTCTCCTCAGTATCCTCATGCAAGTGTGTTTTCTCCTTATAGATAAAACTGTCTTAATCTGGATTCCCAGGTAGTAAAACAGTATTACCTTAACTTTAGAATTTGACTCCTTCTCCTGCTTTTTTGCATCATCTTTTCGTTCTGGTTTTTGTGCTGCTGCAGGTTTCTCCTCCTCCTCTTCAGCTCGTTTCTTCTCTGATTTCTGATCCCGAGTCTCCACAATTTTTGGAGTAGGTTTAGATATTCTCGGAGATCGCCTTAACGTGCGACCGACGCCGAGCTCTTCTGGTGGTGTTTCTGCCTTTCTCTTCCTACTGGAGATCCTGATCGTTAACTTAATTCCTTCTTTCTGTCTTTCAGAAGTTATTTCTTTATTATCTGTTGCACAACTTCCTTCTTCAGTAAGTAGCTTATATTTAAATTTGCTTTTAGGTGCTGGAGATTCCTTTTTGCTCTCTGAGGAATCCTCTAGATTAGAAGCATGGGCATCATCTAAACTATCTGGTTCTGTCTTGACAATCTCCAGCTGCTCCTCTTGTTTTTCACTGTCTGTTTTTACTTCTACTTTGCTTTCCTCGGGGACTACACTCTTAGTATCAGAGTCCTCCTTTTCTAAAATGCACTTCCTTAATGGAACAGAAGTAGACGAAGGGGGCACTTCAGGAGAGGAAGATGAACGGCACCTTTCAGGAGAAGCAGTTGAAGGGGGCACCTCGGCTGATGATGCAGAAGGGGACACCTCAACAGAAAGGGGCACCTCAACAGAAGTAGTTGAAGGGGGCTCCTCAACAGAAGTAGTTGAAGGGGGCTCCTCAACAGAAGTAGTTGAAGGGGGCNCCTCAACAGAAGTAGTTGAAGGGGGCTCCTCAACAGAAGTAGTTGAAGGGGGCTCCTCAACAGAAGTAGTTGAAGGGGGCACCTCAACAGAAGTAGTTGAAGGGGGCACCTCAACAGCAGTAGCTGAAGGGGGCACCTCAACAGCAGTAGCTGAAGGGGGCACCTCCACAGAAGATGACAAAAGGAGCGCCTCAGTAGACGATGACGAAGGGGGCGTCTCACTAGAAGACGGCGAAGGAGGAGCCTCAGGAGCTTTGGGAGAAGCAGGTTTTTTCTCCTCAGACTCACCTTTACTTTTCCAACTCTCTTTGTCAGCTAGTGCAAACTTGGGCAGTTCCTTAGGAGCAGACGCATTTGTGGCATTTTCTAGCTTTTCTACACATTCATTAGGCGGCGAGCGCCTGTCCTTCTTGATTTTCACGGCTAGTTTCTCTTCAGTTTTTTTGGCACAGTCTCCAGAGTGTGAAGACTCTTCCACTACCATTTCAGTAGTTATGCTGTCGAGGGACTCTTTATCCACAGGACTAGATTCCTCTTTTAAAGGCACTTTCTGAATATCAGAGACCACAGACCCCACCACCTCTTTGACCACAGTTACTGCATTTTTCTCAACCTCACACACTTTCATAATTGTACTAACAGAGTTTAAGGAGTCTGATACCTTCTCCCCACTTTTACCATTTTTCTCCTTTAATGAACTGTCTTCTTTTGTGGTAGGAGAATGTTCCGATCTATTATTTTGTATGACACTTGTGGTTATCCTTTCACTGCTGACCTCTCCATTTACGAGCACTTTCCCCTCAGGACACAAAGCAGTAATTGTAGGGACTCTCTTAAAAGTCTCCTCTTCTGGTTTCCCTTCTTCCTTCAAGACATCCTTCGTTGGAGTGACGCATTTACACAAGGACCCCTTTATTGGGCTGTCGTAGTCATCTGTCAGCTTGATCTCTCGCTTTTTAAGTGGTATTTTTGCCTGCTGATCATTTTTAAGTTTTTCACTTTCTTCCACAGATTTCTCCACAATTTCTTGGGGGGTTCTGACATTAACACAAAAGTCTAATCTTTCCGGCTCATGAACTACTATTTTGTCAGTACAAATTTTTACTTCTTTTAAGTCTTTTGGTTCTACTTTGTTTTCTTTCACCTCTACTTTAACAGGTTTGACATTTTCTTTAAAGGAATCACTTTCTTCTTTGACTGTTTGCTTTTCCTCATTGTATTCTGACAGCTTCTCTAATTTTACTATTACTGGCAATTTGATAATTTCTTTTTCTTCCACCTTCTCAACTTTCAACATATTTTCATCTTCTTTGACCAAAGGAAGAGGAAGATTCTCCAAGTCTTTTGACTGTTCCTCCACCACCTCTCTTTCTTCTTTAATTTTTAATTGATTTTCTGTTGGCAGAGAAACACAGCTATGAAACAACCAGAGGACTTAAAGAAGAACAGATATCCTCAATGTAAGACAAATATAAATCAAAATCAAACACATGAACCCATCAACTTTCTCCCCAGCCCAAATGAAGCTTCTGTCCTGACACTGTTAAATTAGAGCTGTTTAAAGACAGTTTAGATAGGTGGGCTGTCAATTTTTTCAGTTACAGAATCACAGTTTATACAGAGATAAATCTAAATTTCACAGAAGCTAATTACAGAATTCCAGAGTCATCCTTTTTTAAACATCCTCAACTGCGCCACAGTATTTTTAGAGAACAGATACGTAAAACCTAAGCAGAGAATGCATAAAACACCAACAGAAAAATAAACTCACTTGAATTTCTGAATTATTTTGCTAGCCAGAATGTGTTACTGGTGCCCATTTAAAGCAACACATCACATACGAATCAACCTGCTCTTTGCTGACACTATTATTTTAGGAAACATCTAGCTATTATATTTCAGGAATTCAGGGAAAGATGAATATATTCAACCTTATATTTTATGACAATATTCACCCAGATTCTCTCTTTCTGGGAAGCAACTACATGTGCTGTGCACTATCCAAATGCAGATCAGATACAACGGTCTACGTTCTCTTCAGTGGCAGCTTTGGAAACAAGCACAGTAACGGCAGCACACCAGAAAAACCTGCAGACCCTAAAGTATTAGGTTAAGCCTAGTTTTGTTTAGTCAGTTTAAAAATCTTAAGTATAGCTTCTGCACCCAGAAAAACAAACAAACAAACAAATCACCTTAAGTGGACCAATTCTGAACAAAGGGATGTTTTTCACCCCACCTCTACCAAAACCCTCTCCCTTTTACACCATTCTATTTTTTTTTCCAAGTTAAGAGGTTCTCAAACTGGTAAGAAATGATAGAGAGGAAAGTACCTGTCAGCCAATTTAATTACATTTAAATAAAACAAGAATATTAGAAAAGCTAGTGTGGTGAGGAAGAACTCGTGCATTTCAGGATCCTTTTAACTCCAAAGCCGGTATCCAAGCAAGTCTCAGCAGCGAACACAGGAGCAAGAGATGCTAACTCTATTACACCTTAAGCAGCAACATTTTGAAGGCTCAAGGCCGCTGTTTTTCCATTAGAGAAGTGATTACCACTCAGTGATTACTCTGGTTACATCAGAGAAGTGATTATCCTTCAAATGTAAAAGTTGTCCCTCTAAAGATACATTTATCTGCGTTGCTGAGAGTGGGAGGCCTTTTTGGTGTCTACCTTCCTCTGCCCTCTCTTTACTTATTTCTCCCTGAACTTTGTTCTCCAGGAATATAAATTACTGACTTTATGCATTGGACTGGTACTAGGACTAAGTTTTGCATCAATACATAGCCTAAGATAAGTAGTAACTGAAGTGATGCCTTCATGGCCAACTATCCCATAGAGCTTGAGGGCTTCACATCCAGGACAGAGTCTCTAAAATATTTTCAAATGGCTCCTCTTTAAATCCTTTACTTGGATTTAATCCAAGTAAAACACTATGCGAAGAGATCCAAACTAGATTTAAGCTGGCTTAATTAATTGGTCAATTTGCAGTGAGCCCAAGGCAAGATCACCAGGTAGAACTGACTCAATGGCATTTGGTCTGACAGATGAGGCTACTCATGTTTTTTGCAATCTACTGTAATTTCTACAATAAGTCTTTTAATGCTTCCAAAATTTAGCTAAATGTTTTATCAACTATTAGTCAAATATTTAGCTAAAGGTTTTATTCATTTCTTCTTCTACAGTGTTTGCTACTGCGAATAAAATAGCAAGTCTTCCTCTTCAACCCTGAAAATCAAGGCAGGCTTTGGCTAAATCCTATATCTAATTAACTTCAAGAGATCTGAAGAAACTCACACTAACATACTGGAAATCTTAAATCTTGTTTCTGAAGGAGAAAATCTTTTTCTTTGTTTCAACAAAACATTATTAGTGTCTGGAGTAAAATGACTTAGGATAAGAAACCTTTAGCTTTTCATAACCTGACAAAAAAAGCAGATGCTTTAACACAAAATATTTGGGGCTAATTGGTACTTAATAAAATGAATGCACAAGCAACTAGATACCAGATATGTGCAATGACATGATAAAAAGGAAGGAAAAAAGGTTCTTTGCTGTAACAACAATGTAACGGAGGCAGTTACAGTCTACCTCATTTCTGAAATATTTTAAATTGTTTTAACTTAAGCCGACATCTTTTTGAAAGATGATACTGATTATGAAACACCTGATTATGAAACAACCTATATTTTTTTTCATTCGAACTCAAAAAGCAAAAATAAATAAGGCACCCTATACTGTACTGATATCAATCATGGCCTTCCACAAACAGATTTTTTTTTTTTTTTTTTGCTTTTGAAATTTTAATTTTACTAGAACCAGGCAACAGTTGGGCGACAGTTCAATGTGCCACAGCAAATGTACAGTAGCAAATATTTACAATGTTACACAAAATGTACAGCAAAGATAAAATTACTAGGAAAACAGTTTATACACACAGGTCTCTATAAATAAAATACTGCGGCTAAATAAGCTCTGAGAAGTTTAGTAACATCAGCTATTTGGCATTTCAAAGTATTCAACATTTACTTGATCTACTTTGAAGAGAAACAGGTACTTAAAAAGAAGTCCTGATCTAAAACAGTTCTCAGGAAGTTAAAAATTCTAACATTGACGCAGAATAACATTTAAAATTGGAAAAGAAAGGAGGTAGAAAACCTTGTGGAGAAGCTTCTTCAGTCTTTTTGGTTTCTTCATCTTCTATGCTTGGGCTTTCACGTGACGAGTTCTCCTGCTGGCTGTTGTTTTTCAGCAGGGCAGGATCTATTTGTGCTTTCAAGAGCTCGAGGGTCTCGGCGAGCTCATTTCGGTTCCTGCATGACAGGAAAAAAATCACATTGCCCAATAAGCCACTTACTTACCCCAAAGGGAATCATTAGAAATAAACAAAACACCATCTGCTTGAATGGACGCTGCCTTGAAAACCATGGATGTTACCTGAAAAGCAGGAGTAGCCAAATGTTCATCCTGTTGAAGTGGCTGCAGTTTTGCACTCAGATTTGCATTACTTCCCAATTTATCTTTACTTTAATAAAACTACCTTATTGAGGAAGCTTAATCAACTTAACTCTCAAGCCTTGCTGTCCTGGATCCAAGCCGCTCTACTTATTATTCTTTTATTTGTTAACTCTGTTAACAGTCTCCAACCTGGTTTTACTTCCCACTTTCATCTCTCTCAATGGAAGACCTTGTAGTTTATTGCTCATGCACCAAAAAGGCAGCCCTACCACTCAAGGGCTAATTTCAAAAGTAATTAAATCATTCAAGTACCTTTAGAAGTACCCTAAATATATTTAGTAAATCCAAAATGTCTAGAAAAATGCACCTACTTGAGTTATGATAGCGAGAAAAAGTTTATTTATCTCTATACATATGAGTCTCAGTACACTGATTTAAGCTAAACATCTCCAAAGAAAAGAGCCTTAATAGACTGAGATCTGATTAACAGATCATAAGGGACTAGAATATTACAGCTCTGGTATTATTCTTTTTCCAAAGTCAATATTCAGCAAAGTGTTATATCCCAGTTTACACAAAAAGGAGCCTGGCAGGTCAAACACACAGATTTTTGCAGATTTAAAACAACGTCAAGTTTTAGAATCTACTACTGTTTTTTTCTGCTGTGAACGGGAAACACCAGAATTTTCTCAGCAGAAGCCCAATCCTCTCTACTTCTGGCATTGGTCTCTGGAGTCTGTAGCACATGAGGCAAGATATACACAGTTCAGCTCTTGCTTGATGTATTTACTTTATTCACCCACAACAGCTGTCTGGTTATTATTATGGTTATTGCTTTATAACTCATCGATAATCGTTTCAGCAGTTCTGTATTACATCCCTGCTTATGAAAGTTATGGATATGTAAATAAGCCACAGAAAAAAAATAAAATGTACAAACAGAAGAAAATGAAAGAATTACAGACAGTATTTCACTTTTTTTTGGATCTACTTCTAGATTTCTATTTACTTTTCACTCAGCGTTGATACTGATGAGTCCAGCTTAAAACACAGCTGGAAGCAATTAAAAAAATGGAATTTAGATAGAGATAAACCAAAAATGGATCAAACAAATTATTTTCCATTAAGAAAGATCTCACATATATTTTCCATGAATAGGAAAGTGAAAACCAAGATATACAAAGCAGGAATTACACAGAACATAACTTTGAGCCTAACATTAAAACATTATCACACCAAGCTGCAACGGGCAACCAAGACACAAGGGCAGTGTCACACGTACCTTAGACTGCATCAACATCTTGCACCACGGCACCATCTCCAGCCAACTTCTACTGCGGAAGGGTTTTAATGCCTGCTGACATGGACTGTAAACCGTTTTGCAGTTCCATGAGGTTAAAACTGCAATGTCTTTCTCTAAGTACAAACTGTCCACTGATGACTGTCAAGTAGCATGGACCAACTGTCCTCAAGAGATTCCTCTGTTGAGCTACAAATTGTAGCTTCATAGAGCAGAAAAAAAAATGCACATTGTCTATTATTGACAAATCAGTGAGACGTTTGTCCCCTTAATTAGAACGATCCACATTCTTTCACTAACATATACATTTGAATACAGAAAACATCATTGTCTGTAATTCTATTCTGTGAAAAATGGAGAGTTACTGACAGCAATTTCTGAACCCCAGTCACATATAACCACCTTATGGCAAAAACCAAGGAGAAAAAAATGGAATACCTAACAATGCACTTCCAGGTGGATCCATCCTGGTCATCCTGTTCTTCTATGTACATCCTGACATTATGTTCTTGATCCAGCTGGTACCAATACATCAGGCCATCCTTGTCTCGCCCGATGGGCTGAAGACGCATTGCGTCGGCATCCTCCTCGTTAATAATATTCTTAAACTTTAGATTGTCATCAAACTGACATTCACAGAGATACTGAAATAAATCAGAAAGTTAGAAGGCTTAAAACATTAAAGTCTAAACAGAAATAACAACATCAGCTCATTTCCTTCTCAGTGCAACTCAAAACTTTTTAAACCACTCTTTAGGTGAGCTCACTACAGCTATTTACATTTCCAGGTTACGTTCTTTTATAAACAGGGATAACTTTTAGATTTTATCATTGGTTTGCTAAGAAAGATTTTATTATTATTATTATTATTATATTTTATTTTTTACATAAGTGATCACATTCTACAATAAAACACACAGAGAATACATAGAAGTTGAAATCAACCCTTCTGAGTTTCCCAAGGATCAAACAGATGAAGTCCAATCTTTGTCTGTGAACTTCAGATTAGTGCATTTAACTGCAAGCTAATAAACATTTTAAGTGCACTCCACGGACAAATATATACTGATATAAAACACTAACAACAAGATCAATTTTGTATGAAGTCTTACATTCAGTTCGGGCTTATCCCACTCGAATGAATGTCATGGCTGTTAAAAGATCAGCTCCACATCTAGTATATACAGCTGTGGAACAGTCAAGCTAAACTTGCAAGGCTTTAAAGTGTATGTAAAAGCAAGATATTTAAGCAAGAGAGAATAAGGCAGTTACAAATTGACTTATGAATGTATACCTTCAGAATTCCCAATTTGCATTCAACACTCATTTCTAAGTATCCTTTTTTTTCCATCTCCCAAGCCCAAGTGCTGTTGAATTCTTGGCATATCTGTCACATAAACAGAATATTAAGATAATTAGGGTTAGTGGATAAAAACAGGTCTAAACAATTACTTAGCAATAGTATCTTACTGCAATAGTGATTATAAATGATCTCTTTAAGAGTGCTCAAAGTCCAAAAGTCTCCCATAAAAATAACAAGTAAACCAGGGCAGGCCAGCAAACATCAAGTTGGTGGTTGATCACCACCACCTTCTCTAAACCTCTTAAATGATGCAGCACAATCACAAACTGGGGAGTAACACAGGCAACTTATGTTCTTGTCTTGCTGTGCAAAATCTCCTATTTTGGTTTCTTAGAGGTCTATTTTGAAAACAAGCTCCCCTGGGTAGATGTGTTTTCTTATTATATGTCTTTGGAGCACTTACTACATAAGCCAACAGGCTCTCTTGGGGCCTCTAAGCCCTCCAAACTGCACTGCAGATGGCAAATGGAACTGAGTCACTCCATGCTGTAGAATTATCATTCTTTAGGAAATGCTAAATATCTTTGGCTTCAACCCATTTGATAAATATTTTCAAGTATTGTGAGAATAGTCAACTTAAATTTCCTAGAAATAAGTAGACTAAACCCCATCAATATGGAAAGAAAAAACTGAAAATGAAACGAGTAGCAGTAGAAGATGGACAAAATCAGTGGAAACTCCAAAAAATCACAGGGTAGAAATAATTTCCTCTCCTCCTTGAACAACTCTAAATGCTTAACACAACTCTCACAAAAAGAGTTGTAAGCAAAACCACAAGGTCTTCTCAAGTTGAGACACGGTAGTGGCATCATCTAATGGATGAGGCCATTCTAGTGGAAATATCCACTAAAATGGGACAAAAATTAGTCATGAATTATCAAAAAAGAGTATTTTGAAGTACCCCTGTTAATTCATAATTGTCCAAATCAGCAGACAACGTACTGCTGCATTTTAGCCTGCAAGGAACCCAAATCCTGCTCGATATAAAACCACAGCAATGTAGCCTCTCCATCGCTGGGCTCCTGTTAAATAAAAAATAAAGCTTCTAAGCCTGTCAGCCATGTCTAAAAACTGCTTTCCTTGGAAAGAGCAGCAGAATAACCCTAAATTTCACCAGGCTAAAGCACAATGAAATGGCTGGCTAGGTAAGGGAGCTAGAATAGGAGAAAACTATTTGGCTTTTTCCTTTGGGAAGTCATCGTTCCTGCTGGTTTTTATCCCTGCACTCTCTCACTCCGGGGTGAGATGATAAAGGTGCAGGACCACACACAAAAGGGCAACTCTGGACCCCATCTGCTGGTCTCAGCTCCACCAGAAATTGGAATTTCACAGATTCACAGAATGGATGAGGCTGGAAGGGCCCTCTAGAGATCAACAACTAAATGGGGTTTGTAGACTTCTCTTACATAAAACCCAGGCTCATAATAAGGGAGCCACTTGCTCACCACAAACTAGACCAGGTTCTCTTCTGCTTTTGTTCTTTCCTCACTTTGAACATTATGAACAGATGCACATGAAAACCCTCAGTTAAGGGTACATAAGAGACTTAAGAGCTGACAAAACATCTGCTCAAATGGAGATGACTGCATTTGACAACGAAAAAAGAACAGATGATCCTGCTTTTTACAGACAACTGTTGTCATAGCCCTCAAAGAAAGATCTCATTGATGCAAGCTCTGCTGAAATGTTAGCTCTGTCTTCACAGAGGGGACATGTTCACCACTCAAAAACCTGCCTCTTGAAGGAACAGCTGGTTTCTGGAAGCTCAGGAGTGGTCAGTAGGACCACTAAGGCCACGTTAGCTTCCTGCCACAAATTCATCTGCCCAAATACCTGTCACTGCTCAGGGAGAGCATTTGATGCCTGCCCTTTACAAGCAGGACAGTCAGATGAGGCATATGCTATAGAAATCTGGCATATAAGGAAACATATTAGCAATGTATATTTTACTTATATATGCACATCTACATACATTTTTGGGAATGTAGAAATTTGGATGTCCTATTTCCCTCCCATATAGTAAAAGAAATGGGTCACATCCAGAATGCATTATTCAAACAGCAGCAACATCAACACATCAATAGTTTCTAGTAGTGAATAAACAGACAGGTCAATGCTGTCTTTTAAGAGCATGTCCAATACTACAACAGACATCCATTAAGAACTGTGAAATCTTCTCCAACTTTGCAGTTTTCACCATGTTTTGGGGCATTTTCTGGCGCTCTTTGCTGTTTTTCTAAATGACTCTCATTACTCCTATTCCAATTGTTTTGTCCTCGTGATTCGCTTGAGCTACAGGCTATAAGAAATTTCCAGTTAGTTTTGGAGTCTGGTAGATAAAGTCGAATTTAGCCCTGTTTATTTTGTCTTAATGGGGATAATTAATGGGGATAGTGGGATAGGGGATAGATTATTTTCTTGTCCTTGCAATGTTTGCTGAAGGAAGATCTTCCAGACTACCCCTTTATCAACTTGTTTCCTCCTCTACTTCCTGCTTTTCACACATCTGCTTCACCAGGGTATCTAAGTTCACCAGCCAGAGTTGTGATTTCTCATCTTGCCTTGAGGTATATAAAGGAATTTAAGACAATAACCACAGTACTTAGTAATATATAAACCACACATGCTATATAGATGACTATGTTATTATTTTAAAGCACCATCATAAAGCACCGCCATAAAATACTTCCAAATCTATAGAATTCACTTAAGGAGTGAGATTTAATGCAAGGCCTTTCAGCAGGTTATTTCCTCCTGACTCCCTGCCAGTCCTCTCTATGTCATCAACTTAAGACTACACAAACCTTAAGGCAAATTCCTAACTCTGAAAGGCTTCTAGACAGCACTAAGGGGACAAACTGTGACTGGATCTTTCATGAACTCTAATTAATACAGCTGCTATTGCCATAATGTCTGTATTTCCACATATTCTTAGCAAGATGACAATAACATGACATTTTTTCTTTTAGTTTTTGAATAGAAGGTATTAATCAAGATACCTAGAAGGGAACGATTAATTTAATAAATTTGAATATTTGCTTATTTTCATTTTCTGAAGCAGTGCAACTTCTTTAGGCTAAAAACTACTTGCATGTAAGATGCCCAGAAAAGTATAGCCACAATTAAAACAGCAACACAGAATTATCTCTGCCAGTAGAGCAATGAGATGACAATAAAGCAATGAGATGCTGCATTTTTTGATTTTTAAGTTAATTGTTTTTAAATAATTACATTTCCCTCCTTCCTACATAATTCTGAGCACGTCATTATAAATCACTGTGATATTTTTGTTATTAACACATCAGAAGAGAATTCCTGTATGGTCAGTCCCTGTAGTAGTATTAACTCTGTAGTAATATTAATGATTAAATCGCACTCAAAAACTTGACATACAAATGCAAATTTGCAATTTGTATATCAAGTTTGCTCCATTTAGCTTGTTAGTGGACTAAGAAATCTGCTTCTAGGTGCAAGGTTTTAAAAAACGGCCCAAAAATGTTGCTAGCAAGGAGGAAGGCACGTGCTCTTTTACATGCAAAACTTTGCCAACTTGCAGAGATCCGTGTGTGAACCTCTGAAAAAAGACTGAAGTTTTAATCTTTTGAAAAAAAGAAAAGTTAAGCTGGGTTCTTATGCAATGAAAGCACATGAGCATTGTCCACAGCCCAGCCCATGGCTGGCTGTAACTCCCAGCAGGGGCTGCTGACACAACAGCTCCCGGCTCATCGTTACTGCAGCGCTGCAGAATCACACGACACGCGCACTGTACCTTGATCAAGTATTTTTCCCATCTGTCTGCCGTGACAGACTTCCCAATCTTTCTCATCAGTTTCAGGTGAAGCTCCACCAATTCTTTTGGAACTGCAGTATGGAGAGAGAGGAGGGAAAAAAAGAAGGTTATAAAGACTGATGTAAATACACTGCAATGCTAAAGGCTGGCAACTTTGGAATGCTGTACAAATGGGGTTGTTTTAATAAAAGGTAGTAACTTTAAGTCAGCATAGGAACTATTCTATAAGAAAACAAAGGAAAACTGGAATACTTACATTGGTCCTTTACAGTTTAGATTAACAACCTTGTCCATCCTGTGCCCTCCCTTACATTTAAAGGGATGCACTCCAGTAATAAAGATACAGCAATCCCAGCAGCATTAAAAGAACAACTGCAAGGGAATGACATTACTTGGACACCTACAGAAACAACAAAAACGCCATGTACTGTGGTGACAGCAGCACCTTCAGCTGTCTCGGAAAATCCCAAGGCATCCCGTGCACCAGGCCTGGCCTATCTCCAAATCCCGGCTATTTTTGGCTGCGTGCACACCAACAGAAATGTTCTAGAAGCTTTGCTCCCCCGAGTGCACCATTGCTACCCATTTTTCCTGCTTGTAATGAGGGGGGAAGAGCAATTTTTACAGATTCGAGGCTGAGCGAGGGAGGCTCGAGCTCCTGCCGAGCGCAGCCGGAGCTGACGCTTCCCAAGCACATTGGACTCGCAGCCTGTCACCCAGCCCCGGGTCCCAGCTTCACCTCAGCCTATTTCACACGGGTGATTTAGAAACCCATCTGGCACCACCAAGCGGCAAACCTGCGAAAACCGGCACACAGGGAAGCTGCAGCGAGCGCGGCCTAAAACCAGGAACCGAGAACTACCAACGCAGCCACCTGAGCCCAGCGACCGCAGCCTTGCGTGCGCTGTCCCCGGGAGCTCAGCTAGCCCCTTCCCACTTGTAATTTGTTGTGCAAAACTCAAAGAAATGTTAGGGGTATTTGGTTTTTTTTTTTTTTTTGCATTTTTATTACCATACTGTTTGCTTAAAAACTGCATTGAAAATTTTATTTTTGATGGCGTTTCGTTTCTCTATGTCAATCAATTAAAAAATTAAAACCCGAAAATGTTACAGTTATTTTTCCGCTGCTCTGCTATTAATACTTTACATATGATAAACAACTGAGACTGCCTTTTTTCCCCTAAAGTAGTCATTATACAATAGAAAAATATATATTTTTTCTATTGCTCTGCACAAGTTTGGAACTGTGGTGTGATTTTTTTTTAATGTTTAATTTGATCTCACCTAACTGAATACCTGTTTTTCAAACATATCCCTTTATACCAACATAAACACAACCTGTCTTTAAAATCTGTTTGGTGAAAACATCAGCTTTGTTTCAATTGCCTTTTTTATTTATTTTTTTTTTGTAAATCACTGCTGTTTTACAGACTGCAATCTAATACATAAACATATGAAGTACCAGCCTGGTGCCCATAAACAGATTTACCCAAACACAGATAATTCTCAAGCAACTCAAAATCATTCTTTTATTCCCTTTATATTATTTCCTTTTTCTTTTTTGGGGGATATTGAATAAATCCACGATCTCTCCTCCTTCGTTTTCCTTATAGCACATGTCACAATTTTATTTTTTCAAACACATGTATCTTAAAAGGAACGGGCCCGCAAGCCTTAATCCTGCTGGGTGCTGAGCACTTGCAGGGAATGAAATGAAGCACAAAGCACTTTACACACATGAGCAAGTCCATTAAAGCTCCCTCACAATTAAACTTCAGCCTGTGTTTGTGTTATGTGGAACTGAGCCAGAGTATTCAGAAACTTAATGGATCAAAGCTTTTGTTCGGCATTTTTTTTCCGGCAATCCTGTTTAATAGAAGCCTGGATGGTTTGTTTAGAAGAACCAAATTCATAGTCACTCTGAAAAAAAACTCCTTGTCAGAGTGTTAATATTGGAAGCTGTGGAGCATGTTCACAATCCAAGAACTGCAAAGTCAATTTTGCACATCCTTGCTCGACATTCAGGCTAATTTCCACTTGTACCTGCTGAAATTTCTCCTTCTGCCCGTGTTTCGGGGGTAATTCCAACATTTCAGGTCTTGCACTTCTAACAGCTCAAAGCTGTACTGCTGCAGCGGCTTTTACAAAGAAACTTCACAAAATAGTTCAAATCCCCTTTATTCTGGACCTTCTCAAGATGTTTTTCATGTATCTCAGCTATTAATGAGCAGGTACCCAGGTTAGCTTGCCATTTCTCTACAAAGTCCTTGGGGAACTGCATGACACCGGAGGGCAAAACACCTTCATCCTTCTAGGGAAGCAGAGGGGCAGGAAGGAGAAGACCAAAGGCCAATTCGCAGGCAGAAAATAGGGTGTCAAGGGCAGACCTACCAACTAAGGTGCCCAAAGAGCAGGAATAGAAGCCTATGAAACAAATGCAACAAATTCTGAGCCAAAATAATAATAGAAATAATATATGGATCACACTTGGCTTGCAGAAAAAAAATAGCGGTTTAAGGAGGAGATGGTAGGAAGTGTAAAAGGTGATGGGGAACCCATCCATCCTGCTAATATGCGGCGGGCAAGGAGTGGCAGATCTCTAGTAAACTCAAATATATTTCCTCAACAGCTATATACAAAACTATATAAAGTTTTAAAAACCTATACAAACTATATAGCCTCAACAGCACACTGAATCTACATTTCAATTAACTTTCACTCAACCTACTTTTGTCCACAATGTAGAGAGAATTCTTGACAAGAATTTGTTGAAGAGATACCAATAATGATCATATTTACAATGTTCCTCAAGCCCAACTAAAAATGTGCTAATTTTGCTTTTGCTTAGAGTTGTGTGTGACGGAAGGACCAGTAAATATTTAAATATTCTTTTTTACGTATTATTGCACTGAATACGGTCCCAGGCATCCCACTCTGGTGGACCCTGCTTGAGCAGAGTGGAACCAGGTGAACTCCAGAGGTCCCTTCCAACCCCAACTACTCTGAGGTAACAGCCATTATTTGCAAGGCTTTGGCCAAAAGAGTGTGATGGAACACAGACCAAAGAGTAAATCTCAATGAGATCTCCAAGCTTTCATATTAATATATAGTCATTTCAAAGAAAAAAAAAAAGTTTTATAGTAGCTCTCAAGTCACAAGGCATAGCTCAACACTTAAGAGATAGAGCAATCCCCAGGGTTAGTAAGAATTGGAAAAACATTATTTTAGAAGAAGCAGCATCTGTTTTAAAGAATATTCTTTAAAATTAATACAGAATAATTGCACTATGTGCCATTGCTAAATACTCAAAATTTATTTTTTCATGCACAACCGTGGATCAAAGACCTGGTTGCAGGTATCCCTTAACACAGTCCCATATAACCTTAAATCTCATTTCACCTCTACTTACATTCCCAGCAAAATTCAAAACACTTGCAGCTGAACTCATCCAAACCAGAACTTCAAGAAACAGAGGAGAAAAACAGAAAATGGAGACGATGCACAAAGCTCTGGAGGGAATACAGGGGAAGTTTGTTATCATGGAAATGTTTTCAAATAAAAACCTTTGTTTTAGAGACCCGGAGCGCCGGAAACAGCAGGGGATGACCAGGATAATGGTGGCTGGGATTGGAAGGTTGCAAAGACTCTACAGCCTCTCCTTCCCTCCAAGATGAAGGGAAAAACACATTCATAGAATCACAGAATTCTAAGGGTTGGAGGGGACCTTTAGGGGTCATCTAGTCCAACCCCGCTGCTCACGCAGGGTCACCTAGAGCACATGGCACAGGAGGGCGACCAGGTGGGTTTGCATGATCTCCAGAGAAGGAGACTCCACAACCTCCCTGGGCAGCCTGTTCCAGGGTTCTATCACTCTCACTGTCAAGAAATTTTTCCTCAAATGCCTTTGGAACCTTTGGTGCTTCAGTTTGTGGCCCTTTCCTCTAGTCCTATCACTGTTCACCACTGACAAGAGGCCGGCCCCCTCCTCCTCACTGCCTCCCTTGAGGTATTTATACACGCTGATCAGGTCCCCCCTCAACCATCTCTTCTCCAGGCTGAACAGGCCCAGCTCCCTCAGCCTTTGCTCATAGGGCAGATGTTCCAGGCCCCTGGTCACCCTCGTTGCCCTGCCCTGGACCCTCCAGCAGCTCCACATTCAACCCCTCAGACACGCTCAGTGAGGGGGAAGGGAAGGAGAAGCGACATTTGGGATGCAAAGACTGCGGGCTGCTTTCACGCTTCACGGCCTCAAACAGGTCTTCCCAGTTCTACTAGTAAAACCTTTTCCTGGGCTAACCCCTCTTGGCAAGCGAAAAACAGAGCTGCTCATTACGATACACAGAGCAAATATTTCCGTTAAAAGGTTGCCCCTTTTTTGTGCTCTTTCTCCCTTGACAAAATTACATCTTCATACCGTGACTCCATGATCAAGTAATGCCAGGCTGGAGCAGGAGCAAAGCTGAGACCATTGGGATCACTAACAGACTCCTTCTTGCCCATTTTTTCACCAAATGAAGCCAGCTCACAGTAAAGCAGAGTAGAAAACGTGCATGTTAGTTGCTCTGCACAACATCCCATGCAAAGTTTCAGGGTAAACTTACTCCTTGCAAACAAGGCATTGAGCACATACTCCCTTACAAGCAGGGCCTTGGACGAAGGGTGCAGGCGTGTCCAAGAGAAGGGCAACCACGTATCCACCTCAGGTAACGTTACAGAGATCTCTAGTTTGAACTGGCCAAAATAGTGACCTGAAAAATACCTGCAGTGCCAAAAGGGACGCTCATGTACGTGCAACGTGCTTGGCATTAAAGATATTTGATGCATTCGACCCCTTTTTGCATTTGACTTTTTGTTTCCAAGCACAAGGAAAAGCAGCAGTTGCTGTTTCAAAGAACTATCTAAATATCCCTTCTCCTGAGTCACTTTGTTATCATCCTGCCGCAAGTTGTGTGCCCACAGAAGAAAAAGATTGCACAGAAAGCAGGAAAAAAAAAGGAAAAAATTAACTGCTCTTTATTTTCATTCGGGAAGTAGAGTCATCAGATGGGCTGTGATCAAGCTGAGGAACCAA